TTACACTGGAATAAGGAAAGTTATAATATCAGGACTTATTGGAATATATTAAATTAATTGCCTTCCATATAATATACCATTAAGAAAATGAGAGGTCTCTGCAAATATTAAAACATGATCAAATTAGTGACTTAATCTGTACATGAATAGTTCTGTAACCTGTAAAGTGTAAAGAGATATTTAGAAAAAATCTCAATTTTAAGCTGTTCTGAGAAATAAAAATATCTTGAATGAATTATGCATGAATGGACTAGCTGTGAGGCCATACAATGACTCCAACAAAAAATAATAGATAATAACCTTAAACTTAGTTTTTTTATCTATTTTTTTTTCAATATATCCACACAACCTTGTGAGGTCCAGCAATTAGTGTTTTATCTGGGTGGTCCTTCCAGGTGTAGTAATATACTTCATACAGTCACGCTTTACATGCAATAAAGGTCATTACTTTTTCTTTGAAGTTTATTACATCTACTCCATATAAAAACATAACGTTCAGTGCACCTTGGCTCACAATGGCATCATCCATACCTCTGTGCATTTATGGGAACTTCCAATCCACACCTTCATCAAACTCTCGGAAGTTTCTGAATCATTCATGCAGCACTAGGCCTGCTTTACATCGCACTCTGTAATCACTACTGAATGCTATCTTATCTTTCTTATATATGATTGACACTCAATACAAAACCAAAACCATGTTAATCATTAAACATTTACTTACATTCCTATTTCAGCTAAACCAGTTCAGTGGGAAACTGAGTTGACCCACTGAGCTCAAAAAAGCTAAATCCTCATCTTTTTTTAAATAATGGACGTAAGGTAGTGGGGTCAAACCTAACATTAGACAGGGGATTACCTATCATTTAAACCAAGAAAACGAGGAAAATACTGCACTTTTCAGGTTTCTGAGCGTATTTTCAATTAATTCCTAGAAATGGTTGTGACCATTCAGGCTACACTAAAAAGAACAAAAGCCAAGCGGTGAACTGCACAAGCTGACTTCCATTTAGCATGACTAATACACATCCTATAACATTCCGAGGCTCATGTGTTTTTCCATTTCCAGTAACACTGTGTTTGAGTGACAGAATGAGAATCATAAACAGAGGGAAAGAATAAATGTGGTTAGGCTCACAAAGCTGATCAACCACAATGACATAAATCCTCCCATACTTACTGCCATAAATGACACTAACACTTGACACTTGAAATATTAGGCTCAATTTGTTGGAAAGGCTGGGAGCTCTTTTTTTTTTTAAAACATGCATCAATCAAATGTTAAAAGTCATTCAGGGTCGTTTGATGTCAAGTGCATCATAAACAACGCACTCTTTACTCTTTATATGTATGTATGTACAAACTACAACAAAGCAGTGTCGCAGGCATCAATGTACTGATAGCAATGTCGTGTAATAACGTTCTTCGAGGCAGCCTTTAGAGGCATAAAAAAGGGTTCCTCTCACCACCACTGTGAACAATTCTGACTCGTTAAGTGTCTCCAGCCCTGAGCATTTCACATTAAACCATTCTGAACGGAGTTGATTTAGTCTCAGTGGTTTCCTTTTTTTCAGAATTCGGTTGAATTTCCCTTCAACTTTCCTCCAGCTGCTCCTTCGGGAACTAGAGAAGAAAACTCACGTGACACGCTCGAACCTCTCGCCTTACGTCAGTCTACAGGACGCGTCGTTTTATTTCCCACCTGTATTCCGACAAGAACTATCGCTTCGCGGGAGGCGGGGCTTGTCTGAATGCAGGTGGAGGGAAATAACGGACGCAGAGTGGAAAATCACTGAGAGGAATCGTAGCGGTAGATTTAACTTTCGACGTTAAAATATTTGGCCACAAACACTTATTAACACCTTGTTATTCTTATTGTTTATTAAAGACTGATTTCATCATGTCGGCGCTTAACGTTACGTTGCTTGCGACCACGCAGAGTGAAAAGCCAAAAGCCAAGAGATGAACTGCACAAGCTAACTTTACATTAGCATGACTGTACACATCCTATAGCATTGCAGGGATCATGTGTTTTTTTCCATTTCCAGTAACACTGCCTGAGGGAGGGAGGGAGGGAGGGAGGGGAGGGAGGAGAGAGAGAGAGAGAGAGAGAGAGTCATAAACAGAGGCAAACAATAAATGTGATTAGGCTACATATTCACTCTTAAAGTTAATCCACCATAAAATACAGCCATGTCGAAACAACGTCACATAAATCTCCCAAGCTTCCTGCCCTAAACTGATAATGCATAAGAACTTTTCATTTGTAGGTGTAGTAAAAGCCTCTAAAATATTGAGGCTGTTGAGATATTAAGCTCAATTCGTTGGAAAGGATTTTATTTTCAAAGATATTACAATAGTTTATTTTTTTAGTTAATAATAATATATTTAAAAGCATTAATTAATATTTTAATCATACATTTTAACATGTAAATGAAATTAAATAATAAAATACATACATACAATAAAATTCTGTATTTAAATATATAGGCATAATTAAAATGTTAAAAGTCATTCAGGGTGGTTTGGTGTGAAGTGCATCATAAAAAACAACAACAACAACAAAAAAACCTCAGAAGCTCAGATTTCTTTACATTGGTTCTGATAGGAACCAGGGGTCACAATGCCTACAACACAAATATAGCCATTTTATTTACTATCCAAAATGGCCAGCGAACCTACACGTGTCTTCTGAGTTTTGATATGTTATGTTAAAAATAAGTTTTCTTTGGGTTTTTTGCCTTACAGTGCCCTTACAAGTACCTCTCAGTCACACACACACACACACACACACACACACACACACACATATATATATATATATATATATATATTAGGCCCAAACTACCATAAAACGATGTATTGATAACCATGTCATGCAATACATTTCTGTAAGGGAGCTTTTAGAGACATTAAACACTAAAAAAATAAAATTCTCTGGAACTGACGAAACTTTCTCATTAGACAGGCTGAATGAGCGCGTGACACGCTCCAATTTCCCACCTTACGTCAGTCTACAGGTCTTTTTATTTACCACCTGTAGTCGGACAAGGACAATCCCGCGTCTGAATACGGGTGGAGGGAAATAACGGAAACGATGGAAAAACACTGAGAGGAATCACAGTGGAAAAACACTGAGGAATCGCAGTGGTAGCTGAAGTTAACTTATGTTAAATATTAGAGTCGCTGTGTCGTCGCTGCAAACCTTTATTGGCCTATTTTTCTTCAGACTTTGTTTTTTAAAGCCACGTTTCATCATGTCGGCGCTTATTAAGTTTAAACTCATGCAGGCTAAACGTGTAGGTGAAGCTAATTTGCTGAAACAAAACAGTGAGGAACTTGCTGGGAAAAAGATGAACAGCACGTTGTGTACGAGTTCTAACAGTGTTCTGGCAGTTTAGGTACAAGAAACGTTGGTTGTTAATGAGGCCGGCTTTTTGAGCTGGAAAGCAAACACTCAGAGTAACCCTAGTCACATGCATGTTTATCCACCACTGGTCTAGTCATTTGTAATAGGCCCTATCTTTGAAATGGCACACATGGAAAAGTCCATGCAAGCAGTGGAAACCCCCTCTCTGCTGATATATCTGATATAGAGGTTGGAAAGCTTGTGCATAGCTTCTAATAAAAGACAGATACTGGATGTTCACAAACTGATATCTGAAGTGAAATCATCCTAAATCTCAGTATTCTTACTATCTCTCATTTTGAGATTTTTGTATTATTAAGAGCTTTGCAACTAAGTGTGACTTAATTTTATCTACTATACATACTAGTTATCTTGTTTCATTGGCAGATAACACTGTGGGTTAATAGTACTTTTGGCCTGAATTCAAATGAATTTTTAGATTTTTTTTTTTATCACCCAGTGATATTATGTCAGATGTCACATCACATGATTCTGTACAATGTCAACACTCACTGTTTCACTGGGGTTTTCTGCTGTATGATTTCCCTGAAACTTCCCTGCAATATTCTCGTACAACAGAGATTTTGTCTGCTTGTTTTCAAACTCCACATCTCTTACTTCTCTTTCAAAACCCCCTGCTCTGATCCTATTTATCTTTCAGATACATAAATCTACTGACAGTTTGATCCATTGCTCTGATGTTTTTTGTAAGTTGAAATATAGAATGTAAATAATGCCACAGATATGAGATATGAGGCTTACTTATGTCAAATGAAAAGCATACAAAAATATAGACACAAATTAGGTGCACTTGAGTTTTTACCAGTTATTTTGTGAAATGAAAAATGATCTGCCGATGAAATTTGCGGACTTCGTTACCCAGAAACAAGTTTAATAATCTCACATTGTTCTTACAGTTTGATACTTAGAACAATTTAATAAAGGAAGTATTTCAGATAATTTCACCTTCCAATAGGTCATTTTTTGCAGTGTAAGCTTTGGCTTAACAGGACGACTGTAAACTAAATCAGGCAGCATTGGGTTGTTATGGATGTGAAAGCTGGACAATACAAAAACCGAGACATGAAAAATATTGATGCCTTAGAACCTGTTTGCTTAGAAGTTGGTCGCATTTTTTGCTTCTCGCAATCCACTAATCTCAAACACATTCAGTGTTGTTGAGGTCTGGACGTTGGTCAGTCCATTGTTCTGACAACAGCAGCAGCTTCTTTGTTTGATTTGCAAATGTTCTTTTTTGTCTATCTTCTTCTCTCAGTAAGGGCTACTTGACAGCTACACATCCTTTCAGACTCATAGCACTGAGTTGTCTTCACACAGTGGAAGGATGGACAGAGATTTTTTCAGATCATAAGCAAGGGTGGATGGTTGTTTGGGGTCCCATTTTCTCTGTATCTTTTAATAATTTTTTGAACTTCAGTTTTGGAAACCTCCCCTTCTCTAGGCACGTACACCAGCTACTATTGATCAGATAAACCAAATGAAATAACATTTAGTCAGGTTTATTTAAGTTTATTTATTTATTTTACAAAAAAGTTTTCCATTTATAATGTATGATATAAAATAAAAAGAATGTACAACAATGATATCTTACAAAGGTTATTTATAAAGTGTTATTAAAATAATAATAAAACACTGTTACATTTAAAGCTTACAATACAAGGTAAACACTTCAGAGAGAGCTTTAATTAAGATTTGACAAGAGATAAATCGAAGAAACAATTCAAGTAACATTTCATTTCTTCAATGTTGAGACTTCAGAGTTTTACAGAGTGGCCACATTAAACCAGCCTGATAAAGCAAACATGTACAATGGTGTGTAAAAGAGAGTCTTCCGCTTCCCCAAAACTGTGCTTTCCTTTCTCATTACACATTCTCAATTGTATGACCTCTTACTATTACCTGGTAATCTTGTGCAAAGTGGTATTTCTGCTCCTTCTCTTTCCAAAATTCTTTTGGCCAGCCTTCACTGTAGAGGTCATGCTGGTGCCTGTCCAGCATACCACGACTTCTCCAAGTGTCCAAGCTATTTTCAAACTTCAGTAAACAGAGTTTTAACAAACTATATGGTAAACAGTGCTCAATGAAAGTAAAACCTATTCTCCCATGTTATACAGTTATACTGAATAGTTGAGTATGGAATGGTCCATTTTCTTTAGCAAATAATTTATTCAAAAATATATTTTACATTTTTGGGTGGACTTCCCCTCCAAATATAAAACAGTCCCTATGCTTTACCAAACCCCTGCAGAATCTCTGACGGCTCTCAGCAGCATCGTGTTGAGTTCTGCTTGACTTCTGACCCCTCTGGGTAGGAACAGTCCCATCATGCATGTGGATGCGTGTGGTAGCCGACAGCCTCGTCCTTCAGGCTGGTAAAAGTTGATGCTGGGTTTCTGGGGGAATCCCAGCGCTGGAATTTCATCTGCTGCCGTAATGAATGTGAGCAGCTCTTCAAAACGTAGTTCTGTTTTTTTATCTATGGAAAAATTGAAAATTCATTTTTATTTAATATGTTTCAGCTGCATTTTATTTATTTCCCTGAAGTGCACTAATGACATTTGTGTGGGTTTGTGCACCAAAAGCAATCTGTTCATTTTGACATGACCTTTTTCCAACCTCTCTTTATCCCTCAGAATCACACAGGCTGTTTTGTTACCTTGTTTTTAAGACCAGTATATGTAAATAAATCTGATTGACTGCCCCACACTGTGCCTGATTTAAAAAGCAAGTAAGGCTGAAACACTACTTATAACTTGAATGTGAAGGGCTAACCTACATTTATTTATTTATTTTTTTGGTTATATCACCAAAGACATTCAAAATTAGCTGTTTTTGCAGCTTAGTCTCCATATAGGGACTGTCTGGACTGGGGACTGGACAGTACATTCTAAACTTTAACATATCAACCTTTTATTTAAAAAGTTCTGACTCTTTTTAGGAAATCATTTTCCACGACTCAGTTCTTGGCTTATATCGTTGCTGTTGGAACAAAACCTTACATCTCCAAATGACCAACTTCACAGGAGAAGGAAAAGTGTTCTTGTTTTTACACTACACTGTACAAAGATTTTATTCCAAATACTGTTGGACTGTTTCTGTTTTTTGTCCCAACAGCAAAGACATACATGACATCTGTTTCTCACAAAAGGTTATCTTAAAATATGCATTGCTGACATTGTTAACATAAATGTCAACAGTACAAACCCTAATCACTCCTTAGTGACAGAATGACATGCTCCTCAACGAATCATCATTCGATCACAGTTCCATCAAAACATTAGAAATGTATGGTACACACAACAAACAGCATGTGTTAATGTAGCCTCGCTCTATCGGCCGTTCTGAAACACTGAAGCTTTCTAAACTACAATAGGTATGAACCGACTCTCAAATTTGACATTAATATCAGCTAAAAATAGGGCGAAAATAGGCAATCTTAGTGTCTTAATGGACCAACTTTACACTTTTTTTGTCAATTTTGTTGTCAATTATCGTATTTTCCAAGTATTTTCCAAGTATTTTCCATGACGGGAAAACTGCATGCTTAAGAAAGATGGTTCTTCAATGGTTCTTTAGTGAAGAAAATGGTTCAGTAGAGAACCATTTTGCATGATTAAAGGGTTCTATGCATCATGAAAGGGGTCTTCAGACAGAATGTGTTGTATATGGTTCTACATAGCACCTTTCTGAGTTCTATATAACACCAAAAGCGTTCTTGACTTTGTAACAATAGAAGAACCCTTTTAGTTGATATATAGAACCCTTTTCAAAAAGGTTCTGTATAGCACCGTCTTCAGGATATTCTCTTTCAAGATGAAGAACCCTTCCACGATTCACACACACACACACACACACACATACACATCTTCTAAGCCGCTTCTCCTTCTGGGTTGCGGTGGGGTGCTGGAGCCTATCCCAGCTGTCATCGGGCAGAAGGCAGGATACAACCCTGGACAGGTCGCCAGTCCATTGCAGGGCAGACAGACAGACATACACATTCACGCACACACAGGGGCAATTTAGCATGTCCAATTGGCCTGACTGCATGTCTTTGGACTGTGGGAGGAAACCCATGCGGACACGGAGAGAACATGCAAACTCCACACAGAAAGGATCCTGGTCGCCCAGCTGGGGAATCGAACCCAGGCCCTTCTTGCTGTGAGGCGACAGCGCTACCCACCGCGCACTAAAGAATGACTAAAGAACCCTTGAAGAACCACCTTTTTTAAGTGTGTAGTCCATAATTTGGCAAATTCTCCAGGTTGTTTGGGACTTGCAATGACATGGGCCATATAACTTCTTAATTTTCTGCATCATAGTTTCAACATACTGTGGCATTTTATATATCAACTGTTGATCAATCTTCCACCAAATAATTAACATGTTCAAACATAAAGGACATTTCCAGAATATGATGCTCACCCTCAATCATCTTCAGAACCAGCTCCCAGTAGTAGATGGTCTGCTCTTCTTCCTGTCTCTTGTTGGTCCCTTCTGTGCTCCAGCTGATCTGGAAGAGAGCCCTGAATGAAGCTCTGGATATGGGCTCATTCATGTTGATAAAAATGGGCAGGAAATCGATCCAGTTTGCGTTCACCATGTCCCACAGTCTTCCATATGAGTTCAGACCCTCAGTGAACTGATTGATCATATTCGACACCCTGAAAATTGAGAAAGGTTTTGAGATGATACTCCACACAATGAATATAAAAATATGTAACTGTGTATTATGACACTGAGACTGTCTCATAGAGCAGGTATATCAGGGACTGATGAGCTGCTAGATTTCATTCCAAGCAAAACCACAAACAGATACTTCTGAAGACCTTGATAAACTGGATTTGGCTTACAATATTAATGCCAGAACCAAACACTAATCAAGTGGTCCATAGGTAAGAGCATGTAGGCACTTTAGTGCGTGCAATTTAATCTAGGAATGGTCATTTCATTCAATATGTATTCCAATTTACAAGGCGTAATTTAAACAATATTTTAAAAAATAACCCCTGCCCATCTCTGTTACTTAGAGGTCTACAAAGGCTGTAATTACGGATTTCCTTGGAAAAACTCCTAACATTACACTACACCTGCTTTCCTCTGAAATATTATTAGACGGTCTTTGTGGATAAAAGTGACCACCATATGGTTTAAATGATTTAAATTTCAGTCACGTTCAGGTTTTCCTTTTTTCCCCTGGAGCCCTTGCCCCTCAGAATGTCTCTGCATATGCATGCAGGGCTTAAACCCAGATCAAAAATCCATATTAGGTTACCTTAAATTTACAGAGAAAGGCCTTCAAATTTTAAGATAACACAAACAAGTGCTAATCATCTGTTTTCAGCTCAGCTAACGTTAGTCGTCTAGTTACATCATTTACTTTTTACTTCATACCTTTCAGCTCACAATATTTTTTTAACTGATATCATAATAAATTCATTTTTTAATTTTTTAAATTAAAAAATGGTAAAAGTTTTGTTCCATTAAATCTGAGTGTAAAAATGAACTTGAGCTTGATGTTTATTGGTGCTTTTCTGTGATGCTTCCTATGTGCTATATCTGCGCTTTGTACTGTCTGTTAAACAGCATTGCACGCCTGCCCCGGTGTGCACTAGCCTTTAGACGGCTGCAGTAGTCTTTCTTTGCTGTTTTTTTTCTTTGGACTAAAACAGGTAAACTCAGTATCCTCTAGTAAAGTTCAGACATCTCATGATTCTTAAATATGACCGTGTACAATATACAAACATTTAAGACTTTTTGAAAAATTGATAATTCAGATATATTCCTAACATATACTTGCCATGCCTGCAGAATCTTGACATTGATCATTTATCAATTTTTATAAAATTAACAAATATTAATTTAATATGTTATACAACATCTAAAAAGACTTTGAGAGCCTTGAGACATTAGCTAAAAAACTGTTAGCCTAGTTGAAAGCCTTAACTAATAGTTCATTAGCACAAGTGGTAACATTACCAGTGTGGACTCATTTTGTGTCTACAAATGCCTGGCAAATATTTACAGAACATCACTATAAAAATTCAAAATGCAATGTCAAATCGAAGTAAGAGATTATGGGGCATGAAAGGCAGCATGAATTATTAATAAAATGCTATTTTCCTGCCAAAAGAAGACAAAAACAAGGTTGAGATTATGTGAAAGAAACATAGTATGGACCACTGCTTTAAATGCTACAAAATTTGGAAATTTGGAGTTACAACATAATCTGAGAGACATCTGTACATACCTCAGATAAATGTAGTGCCTCACAACGTAGGAGTAAACTACAGGAATGTCTTCGATGGAAATTTTTGGTCCATAAATTCCTGGAAAACCACATTCACAGATCCAGTCTCCCAGTTCCTTTTGAAGAGCACGAAGGTGTGCAGATGTCCTACAGGACAAAATCTGAGGATTGGGAGTTCAGGTTAGCTAAGTATGCATATAAGAAAACACTGCTGAATAGATGGCATAATAGATTGATGGTAACAAGATGAAGAAGACAGCAAGTTAGGATGAAGCAGATACACAAATGAATAGGTAAATAGGTAAACAAGCCGGCTAACACTTACTTTTTGTACTTTTCCTTGGACATCTGCATCTGGGATGAGGCGCCAGTCGAACTCCATAAACTGCACCTCTTGACCACACATCATCTGGTAAAGACAAGGGTCTAGAGCCTTAAGTCCAGGACCACTGTGAATTATGGACCAAGCTACAAGTTTTCCAGCCTGCTCGTACTTGCGCTGCTGCAAAGCACTCTGGTCGTAGGTGAAGAATAAGTGTCCAGGTTTGCCCTCAAAAATGCCCAGACTGCCTTGTACCTCCATCATCAGGAGTCTGAAATTGATGTAGATGAGGGAAAATTTAGGTTCTGCAGGTATTAGCTAACAAATAGAATATGGTCCACTTTATATTATATGTTTAGGAGCAGAGTAGAGTAAATGTGTACTACCTAAAAAACTCCCTTCTTGGACCTCCGCTGTCAAAAGCCACCTCGCCAACAAACTCAATATGAGGGGTTTTAGTCCAGGAGAAGCTGCTGTTGGACAGAGCATCGATGGCACTCTTGAGCAGTCTTTTCCGACAAACAACCACATGGAACTCACTTGGGCTGAGATACTGCTGCTGGAACTCTCTCAGCAAAGACGTGACATCCATCTCCTCCTAATGATGACAGTGAAAGCTCAGAGGGACGTGCCTGGACTTTGCAAACTTTCATTCAAAGTCACATTTGTTTATGGGATATTAATGACTATACTATAAAAATAGCAGACAATGCACAGCAGTTCTTGTGTACCAAACATTTGGGCATATGAAGGCAACAGCCCCTTTAATAATTAGAGAAAATATCCATTAATTTTCCATGCTGTTACCATTGATGACTGACGGATCCTTTTAAGATCTTTCTTGGTTGTAGTCTGCCTGTGCTTGGTTTGGTCTGGTTCTTGTGTAGATACTGTTTGAGTAAAACAAGATGGAGCAGCTCTTGTCTGTGATGGTGGTTCTTCTCTGGAAAGTCTTCTAGTATCTGAGCACAAAAATGACAAAACACACAATCAGACACTTGTATTTAACAGCTCAGACATGCAGTAATATTGTCACAACTGTGCATCTGGACAGTTCCCTGGACAGTTTTATGAGTTTAGAACTGAAAAAGGCTGAAAAAGCTGTAAATACTAGTGATAAACTCGGGCAGGTTCTATTTCACGCAAGTTCACGAGTAGTGATGTATCGTTACCTTCGATACTACACCAACACATGCAGTGAGCAGTGTCACTGCTCCAACCCAACTAGTATACAGTGACTCCAAAAGTATATGGACACTTGAACCATTTAAGCATTGGTAAACTTTGATGAAGTTCTTTATAAAATGTCGAAAGTGCTCATATTCTATATTTTTCTTGTATTTTACTTTTTATATTTATTTATCTTGTGATGTTTATGTGATTCACTTAATTGATCGTAATTCCTTTTTGCATTTTCCATCATCTCTTTATTCCTTCCAAATTAACAGGCTGGTTTTGTTACTGTGCCTTTACGACCAACATATGTAAATGATCTCTATTCTGATTGGATGCCCAGTATTGTGTCTTAAAAAAACTGTCCAGAATGAAACATTCCTTGTAACTTCAATATTAATTGATATTAATGGTGATAAACTTTGGTAGGCTGATACAAGGAAATGCATTTGTTTTCGTGGCATCATAAAAACAGTGAATTGCCAAAAGGTTATTTTTAGAGCTTAATTCCAAAAACATTTCAAAAACATGTGGAAAATGTGGTTTTCCATGATATGGGCCTGTTAACAAAATGATATTTCTTTCAGAGAAAACCACTTTTAGCACAACATCAAACTGATGGTAGACATTTGGACCCACTGTACATATTGTTCAGGTGACAAAATTACTAATTGCCAGCAGTTATTGCAGCCCATCTCAACAAACATCTTGTAAAAATGCTACTATAAATGTCATGCTGGTGGTGAGCCAGACATTCCAGTGAAACCTGTTTTTTGCATGGGCCAGGAAGTTAAATTCAGCAAATAAACATTAATTATGCATTAAAATGTGCTTAAAATGTGCAGACGAGTATTCTCTGCATACGATGTATCAACGTATTTTCGCTAAAAAAAAAACCCAAAAAAGCATAACTTAACCAGGGCGCCCAAACCTTTGCATTTGACTGCACCTTCTGCTTCCACTCACTGAATTACTTTATGAGCTTCACCTGTCTTATGGGTCCACAGTATAAGAGTACAGTTACAGACCGTAGCAATCGGTTGTCATGCAAACCTTTTCAAACACCCACTATTCTTTCATCATTGGTCAGTTTCTGACCACAGCACCTCTGTTCACCAGATATTATTTGGGTGCTGGACCACTGTAGTGTTTGTGGCGCTGGTAGGTGTGTATCAGGTCCACCACTCAAAAATATCCAGCCAAGAGCATCTCTGTGGTCTGAAACTGACTAGTAACGGCATAACCAGAAGGTTGGTGTTTCTAAAAAAGTGGCCAGTGAATGTACAGGCGAATGTATCAGTGTAATCATCAGTACCAAACCTGACACAACCACATTCCCACCTGACTGTACATTGTTCTTGACGCTGAGGAAGTTTTTGTTAAGTCCTTGATCTTTCACTTTTGTTTCACCACTGCTGGACTGGCCTGGATCGGGGCATGATGTCCGATCTCCTTTCCTCGAACCTGGAGCACAAAAACACAAAAATAAACATGGATGGTGTTCCTAGTAATTTCTTTACAAGCTTAATTCCAAGCAAATGTGTGAATCAGTGAAGAAAGCAAGAAGGTTTTATCATAAATTTAGACAATTACCCAGGAGGCGCACTGCGCTGGTGCTCCCATACAGATCCAAGAAAACATAAAGTGGTTCATTTAGGTTTACTAGTCCTTTTGCTTTCATGTAAAATGTCTTCCCATCTGTTCCCTGAATCAGAGCATACTTTGCATGGTTCAACCAAAACGTGATGTATGCTCCAGGCTGGCACACTTCTGCAGGAACGGGCACCACACAGTACCCAGGGGTCTCTGTCAGGTGTGGTATAGCAGTTGGTGGGATCAGGTTGGCGTTGGGACGGTGGTTAGTGAAGCCGATGCGGAGTGCTCCGTCCAACAATGGAACTGCATCTTCGATACACACAGAGATTTTCTCCTTCACTTTTACCGGACGGCTGACGAAGACCAGGCCGTGCATGTTGCACGAGGCATCTCTCGAGGCAAGATGTCCACCCTGGTAAATGGTCACACGCTGCCCTTTCACTTCTTGAAGGAAACTCATCGGCCCCAGGCAGCGACTCCCGCAAACACGACCATGCTTCTCTGGAAATAAAAGGACAAGAGGCGTCAGTAACAAGTGAATCCATGAGTTTGCTAGCTCAATGCAGACCTAACGTAGAAGTTATTGTAGATAAAATTAATTATTACCATATTTCCAGAATATAGTTAACATTAATAAACTGTATGGACTAGTTCTTCTGTTTTAATCTTTCCTGCTTCTATTATTTTCTGTTTTCATTTATGTTGCTTCTATTTTCTTTTGTTTTCATCTTCCCTGCATTTTCTGGGAGCACGTTTTAGATGGTCTAAGCTGGTCTTTGATGGTCTGGGTGAGGGGTGCACAACTCTGGTCCTGGAGGGCTGGTGTCCAGCAAAGTCTGGAGGTTTCATTATGCTAAGACACCCATTAAACCTGGCAATTAACAGATGAGTGTAATTACGTGTGTCTGAGCAGGTAAACCAAACTCTGCTGGTCAGCGGTCCTCCAGGACTAGAGTTGTGCACCCCTGGTCTAGGTGGTTAACAAGCTGGACATCCAGCTGGACTAGACGAAAACAGAAAGTTCCTCTTGTGAAAAGAAAAAAGGAAATCATAGATCTTTATTTCTATATACCTAATTTTTTAGATAAAGTTAAACGTCCAGTAATCTGTAATGTGCTTTGATTGGTATAGCCGACTCATTCATTACAAAACCATGATCATTTAAGACTTTTGTTTATTCTGTTAAAAGTAAAAATCTAAAGTGTTTTTTAGGAATTTGGGGATAATATTGTTTTTTAGTGATCAGTGGATTTCACTGTGCAATATAGTGGACAATTTTGAAAAATGAACCTAATTATTATCAGGATAACAGAACCAAACAAAAAACTAAACATTCCCTATGTTTCAGAAAACCTATTTCTGTCTACAACACTGGTCTAGTGTATAAAATGTATTTAATATGTGTAATATGTCTAATATTATATTTACATCTATGTAAGATGTAGTAGAGCTTATTTAATGTTTTCTCAGTTTTTTTTTCAGTGACCTCAGTTGTTTCAACCATTTGTTCATTTTAGATATAGTAATGTAAATCAGCATGTATTCCCTGTGTTTAAAAAGCTTTGTTTCTTCTTCTTCATATTATTATTATTATAAAAATATAAACAAAATTATTAAATATCGTAAGAGCTGTTCTTGCAGAAATCCAGGTTTTTCCAAGAGTTCAGACACTTTTTCGTGTAGCTGCAAAAAAACACTAAAAAAAACGTTCTGCGCTTGATTTGTGTCTCATGTTGGTGATATGTTCATTTTTCAAAATCTCTCATATTTCATGTACAAATGTCCAGTATAATCTACTATAAATAATCCACGCATTACATTATTTAGTACATAGCAGAGAACATGTCTAATAAGATAAAATATATCGTTTTTAAAGTGTCCAGTCTCTGAGCAGGATAAACACATTTGCTTTAAAAGACTGACATCATCATCAAAAACCTAGCTGCAAATTTTCGAAAGTAGCCTAAGAAACATTATTGCCATGTAGGTTAAACGCTGTATTATTTCGTCTTTTGGTTAAAATGAGCCTGGACTGTTTCTCATACGCAATTTTGTGTGGTTTTCCCTGCATTTTGGCGGGTTTTGAACATTTTTTTGCTGGAAACTACAGAAGCAATCTGGGGAAACCTGTTTATGACACACTGCTAACCCCAAGGGCTAACCTGCTAACCTAGAAGACAATAAACGGATAATGAAAAGCTAGATATTTCAGGTTGACCCCTGCTGAATGCTATGAGCAGACAGGTATACTCACTCATGGCTCCTCTGTCTTCACCATACAGAGATGGCACTGTAGCTCACAGGCGAACTATAAAGAGCAAAATGTAGAGATTCTGCGTCTTGGTTTCTCCCCCGAACGTGCAATAAAGCTTCACCATCTTCGTCTGGAGAAATAAGCGTTCCTCAGGAGGAGAAAGGAAGGTGGGCGGGGCTACAGGCAGGCGGGAAGGTACGTTAGAAAAATTCCCAGATTAGAAAATCGGCCTACCTGCTCTGGGTGGAAGCATCAATGCGTGGCCACATACTTTGCTTTATCAGGGCCTTACAGACCTACTGAGAGCACGTCTATTGAACAGTGGACTCACCTTTAATATAAAACATAGAAACAGGAATAGTTTACTCTGAGAAAGGGGGGTGAAGGGAGTGAGCAGAGCGCTGTTATAATGCAGCACAGGTTTTTTTTCCACACGGTTGGTTCAGACATGCCTGGACAAGTCAATGTACGTCCACATTTTGGAGGTATAAACTGACACTCCTGTCTGTAATTAGTGAAACACCAACGCGCATGACCTGACTGACAACTGTAACTGCACCTTTCACTGCTCATTATTCACCAGGCTTCATGGAAATGGCTGCTCTTCACTGAAGACCGAAAGTCTGGCAAACAGGCTCTGGCTGTGGTAAGCACGCGATCTGTGTGGAACGCACCCATATAATTCAGATCATTTGCAAAAGTCTTAGGCCATCTGAGAAAATCACATCTGAAGCTATTTACCTGGACAGTGAGCACTTTAGTTATTGTCACGCACATGAACAATACTAAGACTCAACTTAACAAAATAAATAAATATATGTATATATATCAAATCCATATCATATTTCAGAATAAACCTCAGTGATTTCATTGGTATTAAATAGATTTATCATAGTGTTTTCCAGTGTAAGTGACCAATTTCTCATTACCAAAACACTAAAAATTAATCTGTTTTTTTTCACCACATTTTTTGATAATCTGTTTACTGTTGTCAGACAGTTTAAAGCTATTTGTTAAAACATATACATTAAAAAATGTATACTATTTTGCAAATTTAACTATCGATTATGTTGGTAATCAAGTAATATACAATAGATTATTTTGCAATAAATCAAACAGTTTTTTATGGCTGAACAATGGAAATTGGTTTAATTGAGCAGTAATTTATGATTCAAAGCATTTCAAGGATTCCAAACTATTTGACTGAAAAAGATTTTGAGAAATCTTGTCACAGCCATGCATTTCATTTCGTAGTGTTGTTAACTGCAGAAAACTTCACTTGATAAGCACCCAGAATACCACTGCTAGTAATTATATACATACATCATCGAAACCACTTATGCTTCTGGGTCGCGGTGGGGTGCTGGAGACTATCCCATCTGTCATTGGGCGGAAGGCAGGAAACACCCTGGACAGGTTGCACGCGAGAATACCACTGCTAGTAATTATATACATACATCATCTAAACCGCTTATCCTTCTGGGTCGCGGTGGGGTGCTGGAGCCTATCCCAGCTGTCATTGGGCGGAAGGCAGGATACACCCTGGACAGGTCACCAGTCCATCGCAGGGCAGACAGACAGACATACACAATCACACACACATTCACACCTAGGGGCAATTCAGCATTTCCAGTTGGCCTGACTGCATGTCTTTGGACTAGTAATATGCTAGTAATTATGCTAATGCTAATCCTAGTCCTTCTATGGGAATTTCAGTGCTATGTTGTGCGAAGGTAACAGTGGTTTACATTCATTTAGCACAAAGGCTGTAGTATTGCTTAGGCCAGCTCTACCTAAACACATCAATGTGAAGGATTTGTAGGTTGTAACATGTTGTAGTCCTTCTTTTAATGAAGTCTGTCTGAATGTTATTATAAGCCGTCTGCCGATCTGTTCAGCCTTCACCTAGTTAAACAGTACTAAAACATGCTAAAACGAGGCTTTGTAATGACATGTTTATAAGGACTGCTTATCATTTTAGTTATAAATTTATCACTAAGTTGATTCATTGAGAGTACATTTTAATCAATTTTTAATTGAGTAATTGATTTTAACTGAGCAGTTGTGAGCCCTAAACAACACACTGTGATGTAATGTGTGCCAGTGTGTTACTTTAACCATTTCCTTACCTTTTCTTGAGAAATTCCAGTATTTACAGTTACCATCCAATTCATAGTTAATCTAATTAGTCTTTCATTAAATCAAATCAGGTGTGCTGCTGATGGCAAAGCTGGCGGTCCACTGTCATTTTGCTCAGCCTTTTCTGGGTGGCCCACCAGTGGTGAAGCAGAATATTGGACAAAATTCCACTTATCATCACACTTTTTCCACTCACAATCAAATTTACTGATTTTTTCCTACTTTCCTGTCTTTAGTTATACTGTGTAAATTAGTTTAGTAAATAATTTTAATCTAGCAGAGTCAGGAAACAAAATGTTCTATAAAATTGTTTCATATCAGGCCTAGTCATGATTCTTTTTTCACATTTGTTTGTAATATTTTTCCTAGTTTATTTTTGTAAAATAAAAGTCTATGTGCATTCAAATAATCTGGGTCGTCCGAGGATTGATCAGCAGTGGCAAACAGTAAGCGGTGGTGCCCACCTCATCAAGCCAGCAGACCGATATATGCTTCCTATCTGGGCAGAAGCTGGAGTGAACGAAGACGTCAGTAACCAAATCTGTCGTCTTCTAACATATTAAGTCATATTAATAAATTAACTTCTCAAAAACAAAAAGAATCTTCCATTTTACAGTATTTATGTTAATTCATATTTATTTTAATGTTATATAGTGTATCTACAGGAAAAAACACACTCAGTGCCAAGAATAACAGATTCATTCTTATGGCTGTCCAAGACTTTTACACTATACAAAGAAACAAACTATAAGTTGGCTTGACAAAGTTGTTGCTGTGAAATCCCAGGTGGTGGCTAAGGTGTTGCTCTGTTATCCCAGGTGGTCGTTAAGATGTTACAAGGCCATTGCTATGGAATCGCAGGTGATTGCTAAGGTGTTGCTAGGCCACTGCTGTGGTATCGCATGTGGTAGCTAAGGTGTTGCTATGTTGTCCCAGATGGTTGCTAAGAAATTACAAGGATATTGCTATGGAAACGCAGGTGGATGCTAAGTTGTTGCTAGGCCATTGCTGTGGTATCCCACGTGGTAGCTAAGGTGTTGTTATGTTATCCCAGGTGGTTGCTAAGATGTTACAAGGCCATTTCTATGAAAATGCAGGTGGTTGCTAAGGTGTTACAAGGCCATTTCTATGAAAATGCAAGTGGTTGCTAAGGTGTTGCTAGGGTGTTGCTGTGGTTTCATTGTTCTAGCTCGAAAACTGCAACCCAGTACAAAAATAATGTAGAATAATAAAATGAAGACCAGTATGTTGGCTTTGTCAAGCCAACTTAAATATAAAATGTCAGATGTTCTGATAGAGGAAAGACTAGAGAAATTAACCAAGAGGGCCTATAAACTGAAAATGTGTCAACAACAATTAAATTACATTTTATGTTGAGGTAAATAAATCTATATATCGTTGCTGTCAGAACAAAATCTCCAGTTTTGTGGTTTGTTTTTTTTATTAACATTTTTGGAGATTCTGACAGCGACAATATTCAGTACCAGAACATCTAAACCATTAGGATCCATTTATCAAGAATACACAAAAATATCATTAGTGACCACTGGACTCCACAAGGAATCAACAGAAACATTTAATAGTTTCTATGATTTTTTCAGTGGAGAATTGCTTATCTCAATTATTATTAATAATAATTATTTATTATTTGTTAAAAAAAATGTGGATTTCGTTATATGTTGTTTTATAAAAGCAGTAAGCCTCTTTAGGCCTTGCGTTACAGTGATTTGTGAGGGGTAAAGGAGCTTAACACTCTTAAGTCATTGTAACGCACAGCCTCTTGTGGCTTATTGCTATATTTTTATTTTTATGCAGTGTGCAGATGTGTGGTGTTTATGTGCGTGATGGCTCATGGCATGATGAAACAAGATTTGTTTCGTTTTTGTGTTTTACGTGACAAGATCAGGTATAAAGGGATGTTTTTGCTTTCATTTTAACACCAAACATTTTATAAACACCAAACAGGCCTGGACCTATTCATCTCATGCCAAATGCTGTCCTTAAGACAAGTTAAGCAACTTGGGCATGCTGGGTAACTCCATCCAGATAATCCTCATAAGGAATGCTGAGTTATGTTGGTGGCCTGGCATCTGGGTGTGTAGGTGTTTGTGTACATGCACCTGACAGACAAGACGGTGATTTAAAGTACGTTTTAGTTGCCAGCTGTGCCACAGTCACTGCAGTGCCACTTTTAGCCTCCTTAGCGTACCTGCTTAGCTCTCATGAGCTGAACACATTTACACAGTTCTTTTCTCACACTAAATGTGGTCAGTCAGCCAGGATGTGTTTAGTATTTGAAGTTCTTTAGTTTTACACTCAAGCTTTAAGGCTAATGTAGCAAACCAGTAATGGAAGTGTAGTAATGCCAGTTAGCATTGTGCAAACTGCACACTGCTATTGTAGCAAATATGTCATGAAAGTGTATTAATGGCAATTAGCATCAGGCAAACTGCACACCAAAACCATGTTGAGTTGGTAATTAATGTCAAGCACACTTGCTTATGTGGTTTTTGATGCTGTATTACACACTGTTAAGTATACGAATGCACATATAGCTGAAAACATTAGTTGTAGCTCCAGTACAAAACTAAAGAAGCAAACCTCGTTTTGGCTGATCTGTGTTTCCAGTAAGGAGGAAACTGTGTGTTAAAATTACTTAAATCTCTACATCTTCTATGCACAAGGCTGTACACACGCAAGTCCTAACAGGGCTCTACTGCTGCAGAACAGGTTTTCTTTCCAGCGCAGATCACAAACTGTCCACCCTGTCTTTTATCTAGAATCAATGTTTTTCTATATGTGAATGCTTCCAGCATTGATGGGAGGGGCTTACTTGCAACCAGTTTCTCTCATAATAGTTGAGATTCTACTGTAGCTGTGGGCATTCCTGTGTAGAGGAATACAACGCATCCAAATAGTGATCGAGGCCTGCCTGCTCATATACACCAAAATGGAGTTATGAAATACTTTAGGAGGAGGACCATGCCTGAAGCTCCTCCTCTTTCAAATGTAACGTCTTGTAAATGTCCATCTTCGCCTCACGTTTCCCATGACAAAGCTTTCACACCCAATGAACACCCTATCTCTGCTCTGTTCCTCAGTCCCACCTTGGTTCATCAAGGGAGGTTCGTACTTCTGGCAAGCAGAAGGCGCCCAGAATCCAGCCCAGGTTCTCAGAATTCTTCACCCTCATAGAGTCACAAGGCTCTTCTTATATTTCAATCACAATTTGAATGCATGAGGCAAACTCTAACATTTTAAATGATAACAGTCTGGATAGCATTAAAAATAAGGTTATGCATTTTTGTAGTTTTGCTTTATTAAATTCGCTTCATACATTAACATATAATAAAATGTATTTTAGGGGCACGTTGGAATTTTTTTATCCCTCCGTGGAGAAAGTACAGTTTGTCAGATGCACTGTTAACATTGGTATTTGTTGCCCCCTTCAGGCAAATAGTGAACATGCAACCTAGTAGGTGCATGAACAGAAAAACATGCTGCTTTTAGTTTTTAAGATTTAAATTTGTATTTGTTTCCACATGAACAACATATATCATATTGAATTTGTTTTTATGGAAATTATGTACACAATTATGTACACATTTGAATCAAGTAAATTTAGTGCTGTTTTTCCATGGCTCACCGTCCAATTTATTAAAGACCTTTTCCTGGTCCAGGAGTTCCTCCACCCTGCATATTGTTTTCCCCACTCTAAAACATCCACTCCAGCTCAGGAAGAGCTTTTAATTAGTTCATTAGTTGCATCAGTCTAGGACCAGGATTCATCATTGTTCATTTTCTGACTATAGCACTGCTGATGTCCAGATATTAATGGGTGGCGGATCATTCTCAGCACAGTAGTGATGCTGACATGGCAGTGACATAGTAGTGTGTGTGGTGCTGGTATGAGTGTATCAGGCACCGCTTAAGTTTTGCTGATGTTTTTGCCAAGTGTCACTGCAAGATTGAGAGTGGACACCCCTGGACTGGAGGATAGATAGTCCAAAGAGATTTTAAAAGAATACATTTTTAAAAAGAAATATAACAGCCTAAAGAAGTACACACTACAATATACATTTATGTCCATACTCTTGAAATGCAAATCACTAAGTATTGCATATTTAAAAAGAGGTTACATCAACCATCTAGTGGTTACTGTGATTAAAAATTCCTGCCGTACACAACTTGAAATTTTCAGCTAAATACCCAAGGGACATTTATTTAGGTTGAGTGGTATGTATATTGAGATAATTTATTCATTAAGCTGGGTAAAATCAATAAATGCATGAAAATTGTAACATCTGCCTTATAATGAATGGAATATAAAACAGTTTAAACCAAAGACAGAGTAAAAAGGGGTGAATCCACATGACTGTCTAGTGCTGTACAGATTCATGATGAGAAATAAGGGTGAGAAAGTGCCCTTCAAAGTAGACTATTTGCCCTTAATGATTGTAGTTAGGATATCAAGAAGAAAATTAACATGAAAGAGAGACACTGTTCAGTCTTGGATATTTTGTGAACCTTCTGTAGGTTATGTCTTAACATCTCGAACATTTGTCTGTTTTGCAGCTGACTAGTAAATCTAAGGCTAACCAGTCACAGACTAACCAATCTAAGGCTAACCAGTCAAAGACTAATAAATCTAAGGCTAACCAGTCACAGACTAACCAATCTAAGTCTAACCAGTCACAGACTAACCAATCTAAGCCTAACTAGTCACAGACTAACCAATCTAAGCCTAACCAGTCACAGACTAACCAATCTAAGCCTAACTAGTCACAGACTAACCAGTCACAGGATAACCAATTACAGACTAACCAGTCACAGACTAACCAATCTAAGGCTAACTAGTCACAGACTAACCAATCTAAGTCTAACCAGTCACAGACTAACCAATCTAAGCCTAACTAGTCACAGACTAACCAGTCACAGGATAACCAATTACAGACTAACCAGTCACAGACTAACCAATCACAGACTAACCAGTCTAAGGCTAACAGTCACAGACTAACCCATCTAAGGCTAACAGTCACAGACTAACCAATCTAAGGCCAACCAGTCGCAGTCTAACCAATCTAAGGCTAACTAGTCACAGACTAACCAATCTAAGTCTAACAAGTTGCAGTCTAACCAATCTAAGGCTAACTAGTCACAGGCTAACCAGTCACAGCTGACCAATCACAGACTAACCCATCTAAGGCTAACCAGTCACAGACTAACCAGTCACAGGATAACCAATTACAGACTAACCAGTCACAGACTAACCAATCTAAGGCTAACAATCACAGACTAATCAGTCACAGACTAATCAGTCACAAGTTAACCACTCATAACTTCATAGGCAAAACAAACCAATCGTAGACTAATGGATTATAGGAGAACCAATCATTGGCTAACCAATTGCAAGCTAACCAATTACAGGTTACTTAATCACAGGCTAACCAATAATTTACTCATGGGATTTTCCCAGATAGAACCTGACTCTGAAACTCTGGAACTCTGTTAACTTAAATGTATTTCACTGTAATTTTATGCCTGTAAAAATATAGAGAATCTCAGGAATTCATTTCCTGGAGTCTGAAAGCCAGTCTAATTGAAACTGTTTCCAGATTGTTCACTGAAAACCCACATTGAAGGCGTGATGACTCAACTGACAGTAGAGTTTTTAGGTTCAGCGCATGAGAAAAAGTGAAAAATTAAGATGTTCTATGCACTTTGTTGTGCTTATAAGGTGATACCTTGATGAGAACAATATTTAAATGAAAATGTGGAGGACAAAAATAATTTATTGAAAATAAGCAAATTAGCAAGTCATTTTGGCACAGATCTAATGTAATGACTCAAGGCCTTCTAGCCTAGAAGTTTAAAAGTGAGACATTTTACAAGGCTTATATGTTCACTGGACAATGGGCATCTAGCCTGCCTTGGCCTGCATTCATTGGCTTGCAAAAGTTTTTGAACAATGCCAAAGACTTCCTTACACAAGGGCTCTCCTCGACTGGACAAAAACTTCACTGACCGTCTTGCATTTCTCTATCATAATGCTATTGTGCCATTGCCTGGTCTGTTGTCAGCCAGGTTGGGAACCGTGCAAAAGCCAGTAATTCATGCTGTGATGTGTTTTCGGTGGATTTTACTGAAGTGATACATGTTTGGTTAACCGCAGTGGTAATTCCTTTATTTAAGCAGGGTAACATAAGAAGAACTATGCAGCACAACCACATATTTACAAACTCTTTTGTGGCTTCCTCAAATTACACTAGTGGACCTTTGTCTATGGGAAGCGTCAGTCTATGAACCCGAATGACCCTTTCACATGAGCAGGCCTTCACCTGCTGTCTGTATCAGTTAGGATGTTAATGCGTGAGTCTATTTCCATATTTCGTGTGGGCCGCCTTCCAAAGAACTGTTTATATTTTCCTGGAAACATGCAGAATGATCAAGATGTGTTTTACTCCCCTTTCCAAGTCATGTGTGGTATATGATAATGAATACCTGATGAAGCTGGCAGGTTTAATACTGACTGATGTAGAAGACAAAGTAACCAGTATGTAAAAGAAACTATGGGAGATAAAAAACTGATTTTGTGAAGTATAAGCAATTAGCAAGTCCATTTGACACAGATCTAATGGAACGACTCTTACATGCCTGTAACTACTAACATATAACAAAAAAGAATAATCCTCATCGTCCATCTCGGCCTCTTCAGTGGCTGTGGGTCTCGAGGGCAAAAGCCTAGAAGTTTAAAAAGAGAGATGTTGCAGGTTGTAGGTGTTTCTGAGTCAGGTGTTTCTGGTTGTAGCCTCATCTAACATAACTCCAGGAGTTCTTCACCACCTTCAGTAGCATCTGAATGTTAGAGACAGGTGTGAAACTCTGCAGGATGGTGAGAAAAATACTTGCTTACATTTAAATATATTAAAAAGGTTTCAACTACAATGAAAAGTGAAGGTGATGAAGAAGAGGAATCATTACAGCTTCAAATAACGCTGAACTTCGTAAAACGAGAGACACACTCACCAAAGTGAAATCACTCTGTTGTTGTTTTTAATCAGTTTTCTGTTGTTGGGCATTACTTAACAAATGCATGTAACTCATTTAAACTGGGTCGTTTCATTGAAATATAATAAGTTGTCAGATTTAGATTTCATTTCAGATTTGTTTGCTCAGTTGAGTACAACATCTTTCTCTTTAGCTACAGCATCACCCTTTTGCCTGTTTTATATGTGTTTTACTCTCCCTTTTCATGCAGTCTTTTCCCACTGACCTACCTTCCTACATCTTTCTGATGTGACTTGGTTAACTGTCTAGCTTCATTACTGTTTGTAAGTAAGTTACTGCCTTCCCAGCTACTGAGCGTGTCTTAACCTCTTCAACTCCTTGAGACCAAACCAAAACGCACTTTGTCATAGTCTTCATAACTTTCATATTTCATAAGTTACATTCAAAAAGTGGGTGTCGTATGAGAGCTGTAACTGTCTTCTTTCCAGTCAAATAGATGGGTAATGTAATTTTAAACCCTTATAATAAAAGAAGCTGAAATTTTTTTTTGTCTACTGAAAGTCGACCCATTTTTCCACAAATCTGGGCTATAAACTATAAACAAATGGCGTCTCTTCAGTGATCTGCTCTATAAAAATTACTTTTATAAAATAATACAAAGAGCATCTAAGATTTTTGGCTTTCAGCAGTAAATTGTAAGGATATAGCAAAATGTGTATGATCATAAAACACATTCTGTTCATTTGAGGGGAACTTTTACAAAAAAAAAAACCAAATAAATAAAAAAATTTACATTAATTCCATGCAGTTACTGAATAATTAGTCTTACGATTTGGTCTTCGAAATTCAGATGGAAAAATATACCCTGGTCAATAAGACTAATTTACAAAGATTTAACTTCTTCTACTTTTATTTGTTGAACATATCCTATTATGTTAAAGCTGGCCTATGTAAGTTTTGGAGATTTGGAGACCTCTCTGGTGGAAATGTGTAATTGCACACAACATGCAGAAGGACGTCAGAATGTCAGTTGTGCTTCGGACCTCTTCCCCTAGAGAATGAATCTGATAATTGTGAATGTGTTGAAAGAGAATTCTAACAGAACTCAGACAAAGCTGTGAAGGACGTGTCTTCTGAGGATATGAGGATTTACTTGAATCCTTTGAGTTTGTTGAGTGCAGAGGACTCACAAAATAAGAATTAAAAAGGAAAATTAAAAATGTGATAGCATTATATTAGTTCGAAAAACAACATTACATTATTAATACTATATTGTTAAAATATTATCAATTTTAAAAAATAGTATTAGTATAGTCTATACCTGTCTTATGAGTTTGATTTTCATTGTCAGTCCATATTGAACACATATTTCCATTCTTCACACCAAACCTTCTGGAAAAAAGAGAAGCAGAAATGTCCATAACTGCCTGAAATGGCGTATAGCAGAATAACAAGCACAGAGTTAAATCTATTCAGCAAATGGCAGTTTACTTCCTATGTGAAGCTCACAATTCTGCAATCAGAATAAAACCGGCATTTACCAAGGAAAGGTAAAATGAAGTCCAGATGGCCACAGAAGCCTCCTAAAGTCCCATCTCTTTCTCTTCCCATCTGTAACTGCTCCTCCACAGACGGGGCAGGGAGCTCCATCAAAAACTCCCTCATTCCCACCCTGCCACTTCAAAAAGCAATTAATCTGCTGTCAGCCAATCAACAGCTGTCGCCCTGAGCGATGACCAATCAGGTGCTCCGGCATGTCAAGCGCTCACCCAATCCAGAACGAGCGGTCTAATCTTGTCTGTTGTCATCAAGAGAGGGTCACATATGTGTAAGGTAGTTCTTATTTATGACCTCAGAGCAAGGAGCTGGCTTGAGGGCAGTCGTGGGCCGAAGTGAGAGTGGAGGTTAAAGGTGGCGAGATAGCTGCTGTTGACTTTGCAACTGCCACTTGAAACATGGAACAAAACAGGTGAGAACTGCTAGACTTTGATTAGGGGGCCAAGCACTTTGAGGTTCCACTTAAGCAGAGGTGTTCAGATTTTCCAAAACCCAAAAAAACCATCTGGAAAGGATTGAAAAACCTTCCAGAAGGTAAGCAAAGTCCAGCACTCTTCAGGAGGGTATCCCGACCTGGATCAGACCACCGGGGGACATTTTATGTGATACAGATCTTCATCAAGTATTCACCCTGGAGCCATCGTTACTGGACAAAGAGGAGGGACAGACGCTGGTTCCAATGGAGCCCAACATCTCGGGGACTTTCCTCTTCAACAACAGCCTGAACCAGTTCCCCTCGGACATCAAGGCACCCATGTGCCAGTACTCCGTGTCCAACACCTTCTACAAGCTCAGCCCTGCTAACCTCAACGCCCAGCTGCAGGCGGGCACCCCCCACGGCATTAGCGACATCCTGAGTCGCTCCATGGTGGGATCCCCCACAAACACCAGCCTGATCCCGGGATACTCCACCATGGGCGGCTTTGGGACGGCCATGCCAAGCCCGGGCGTGTATTATAACAGGGATTACACCCCTGCAGGGATGGCCACTTTTCCCAAAACCAGCACCGAGTGCCCAGGCATGAAAGCACGAAGCAGCTGCTGGGCTGATGGAGGGTACGACTGGAGAGGAGGAAGACAACAGTGTGGCAACTGTAAGAAACCTGAATTATTTGGCTGAGTTAACGTTTTTCCAGAAGGTTCTTAGAAGTGTAATCAAAAATCTAATCTAATGCTTATATTTCATAACTACAGAGTTCTCCAGAAAATGTGGAAAAAATGGGAAACAGGGCTACTTTTACTTTCTATTGCTGCTGTTGGAAGAAAACCTCATATCTCCATTTTTGTCATTTTTCAGTTTTGGACATAGTTTGTCCTTTACATTGTGTGTAAATTTCATGATGAATGGATCAAAAGAAACAGCCCAGAATTACTTGGGAAATATTCTGGTTCCATTGACTTACATTAAAAGTAAAGTAGTTTTTTCCTTCTCCTGTAAAGTTACTGTTTTGGAGATACATTTCTTCTGACACCAGTGACATAAAACAGCAGCAGACAAGCAGATAATGCGACAACAGTGCAGAAGTCAATAAGTCAATACAAAGTTAATGCAGTAAATGCAGACAGTAACATTCAATACAATGTATATAATAAGCTATAATAAGTACCACAGATGGAGCAGTGTAGAGTCCCAAAAAAAATCAAATAAGATCTTACATGATCTTATATCTAAAATTGTGTCATATCCGTTATTGAAGTCCTCTATATATATATATATATATATATATATATATATATATACACATATTTAGGCTCTCACTTTATGCTTACAACGTAATAGTGCTGTGTATGTAATTTTAAATATTTAACTTATTTACTATTTAAATAATTTTAATGATTTTTACCATTGTTTATAAATAACTGCTGGCATAAACATTAGGATTGTTTAAATTATCTTATTATTTATTATCTCTTGTAAACATTGTATTATCTAATTTTAAGACTAGTTACATTATCTATTAGCTATCTAATACATGTATTTTCTTTCTGTTGACTTTTACTGTGTAATTGAATAACTGTAAAATATGTTTGAAGGTAAATATTAAAATATGCCTCACAGTAGTATTTTTTGTTAAATATTTATTGTTTAATATTTGGAATGTCTGTTGAATTTTGTATTCAGCAGTACAATAAAATGAACTGAAATAAAATGCATATTATTTGACAGTGAAAAATACAATCAGTGGAAGTAACTGGATGATCAGTTTTAATAGTCAAAGAGACATTTCTGTTTTATAGCTGATTTACACTGTTAATGAGAAAGATCATGCACTACAAGCTATTTGCACTGATGCTGATCGTTTATAATTAGTATGATACATTAACCAAAAAATTCCATACAGTATGTAGCATAATGTTTTTTAAAAGTACTGTTTTCTTTACTGAAAGCAATTACACTGTTGCTGGCTATGAACCCTGATTTGGAGTGCAAAATCACTAATTGTACTGTCATCTACATAAAATTACACAATCAATCAGCTGTGATTTAATCTATAATCATCCCAATCATACAAAACCATTTATCTCTCACTAATGGAGATCTCTCAGCTGCTATGAGGCCACTTGCAGCGTGGCACATACAAAGAGTACAGACTGCAAGTTAACTAATTCCTGGAACAAAAGAGACAAACGCAGCGAATTCAGATTCGACAGTGTTCATTAAACCTGCTCTGTTTCCTCAGCAGACAGCGGACATGCTGCAGAGACAGCGGGCAGAAAGAAACACACCCGGCCCACGTTCAGTGGACACCAGATCTTCGCCCTGGAGAAAACCTTCGAGCAGACCAAGTACTTAGCAGGACCAGAGAGAGCCAGACTGGCGTATTCACTGGGCATGACCGAGTCACAGGTCAAAGTAAGAGAACACGGACACGTGCAAACACAGCCAGCGGACTAATAACTGGACACATACATTAAAGCAATACAGAGTTTTTCAGGCTAGTTTTTTATCCGCTCTGCCTGTAGTGAACAGCTGATTTGCACAGACAATAATTTCAACATATTTCCATGTAATTAGAAAAAACAGAAAACCAGCTCACTTGAAAAACACAGTGCACTCGAATGAAGCAACGGCCCATTGACTTTGATTACGAGTATGATTTGAATCAGCACGTTTCCTGTTCTTCTCTAAGCTCAGGGAAATACGTCAAAATTACTACCTGCGGTAATCAGCTGTACGCTTCAGATAAACACTTCCATTAAAAAAAATCAAAACATTCAGCTTTTAATGGTGTTAACAACATTAAACTAGTAGATAAAGTAAGTTAGTATGGAGAGCTTTTCACTTTGATTTCTTCAGGTGTTGAAGTCTTTTTGGTAAATTTGCAGACGACCTTTTGCAGAAAGAAGAGTCAATATTGTCCCACTCAGCTCTGATGACTTCAATATTCTCTATAGTGTTTGAATATGGACTCTGAAAAGGCCAAGACCATCAGTAAAAACCAGTGGTATTTTGGGCTCGGCCCAATTTTTTGCAGGGGGAGTGTAGCAGATACAGATTAGGTGGAAAACCAGAGCAGCGCTGTCCAAAATATGGCCCATGAGGACATTTCACTGGAAAAAGTTACCTTAACCCCACCCACTCAACCAAAAAGAGAACAAATATATGTTTTATAATTTATATAACTGACTTAACTCTCAATTTTAGCAAAATTTCATGTAAAATACATTATTAATACATTATTCCTTCCTTAATGTATACCTTTATGTTTTTGGCCACCAACCCACCATATACACAACACTTAAGCTCTAAGGTACATAAGTAGCATATTAGTTTCATAGTAGTAACAGAACAATTAAAAGTAGTTACTGAATAGTTTGTAGTAGTTACAGAATCATTTTTAGTAGTTACAGAATAATAAGTATAAATATTAATAATTTAATTAGCAGTTTTATAGATTATATCTTCTCTTTCTGTGTAGTGAATTATGGCTTGCTGATATTTGTATAGTACTTTCTATAGTTTTGTGTGTTCTGTAGCTCAGTGGTTCTCAGTGCTGGTCTTGGAGCGCACTGCCCTGTACAGATTAGCATCTTCCCTACTTCCATGCCCAGTACGCCTTAGCAAAGGGCGCCATAGGACAGTTTATACCACTGAGCAACACATCTACACAAAGTCACAGCTGTTGAGGACTGTACATTACTCCAGCTCTGGTCTGTTGTCCTCTACTGTCATCTGGAATAGCTCATTGTATACTGCACTGAATATTTTAAAGGAGAATTCCACTGACATTGAAATATCTGCATAGTTCAATGGTTGAGACGTAAACAAAGTCATTCAGAGTGTTTTGATGTGAAATGGTTCAGTTTACAGAAACTTTCTGACTCTGATTTCTTCACAGTGGTGCTAATAGGAACCAGGGTTGTGATGTCTACAACACAAATATAGCCATTTTACTTACTACCCAGTAAACTAAACAACCAGTGAACATACAGTTTTATATCTAATGTTAATGATGGTAAAATATGGGGAAATCAAAAAATGAAAAAATAGGTTTTCTTTGGGGAGAATTTTACTGTACAACACTCTGCATGTACCTCTCAGCTATGGATGGATTTAAAAAAAAGCATTTTAGGTCAGAATCTTCTTAATATTATCACAAAACAATGTCTCAATGTCTCTGAGTGTTTGTAACCATCGTGTATGGAATAACATACCACCACCGATATTATGTAATGAGCACCACTGTCAAATTTTTTTTACCACATCTGTATATGGTACTCATCACATAGTATCTGGTGCTCACCACATAGTATCCAATGCTCACCTAATAATATCGGGTGCTCACCACTTGGTATCTGGTACTTGCCTGACAGTATCAGGTGCTCATAGCTTAGTGTCTGGTGCTTAGCTGATAGTATCAGGTGCTCACTACTTAGTATTTGGTGCTCACCTGATAGTATCAGGTGCTCATCACTTAGTATCTGGTGCTCACCTGATAGTATCTACCTGATAGTATTTTTACCTAAAAAAAATACACCACACGTCCCTTCAGGAGCTCCGTAGACTGAGATACAGTCATATGAAAAAGTTGGAACCCCCCTCGTCAGATTATGTCTGGTTGATTTTCTAAGTCAAAATAAGTGAACACATCCTCTACAGAGAACATTTTCCTGCAAATTTTAGTGCACAATTTCAGTTTACTTGCTGACTTTAACATCCTGGATAAAATAAAACATCAAACATTTCCATGGCACGTTTGTAAAATGTATAAAATGTGCCATAGTGTTTTATTTTTTCCAGTATTTTAACACAGTGATGTGTAATTCGAACATATCACTGTGTTAAAAATGTAAAAGTAACACAGCAGAACATGAGCGAGAACTCGCCATCACTCATGTAGTCCACAGTTCCAAATGCCCTGGTGTGAGTGTCTACTTTTTTATTTGGTGGACATTCCCTTTATCTCCATATATCTCTGCATGCTTCATAACAGTGGTCTGTCTTCCTCAGGTGTGGTTCCAGAACCGGCGTACGAAGTGGCGTAAGAAGAGCGCGTCTGAGCCGAGCTCCACGCAGGCCAGCCGGGCGGAGAGCGGCCGGGACGGCTCGGAAAACGAGCTGGAGGACGAGGAGTACAACAAACCGCTGGACCCCGACTCGGACGATGAGAAGATCCGTCTGCTGCTGCGCAAACACCGCAGAGCTTTCTCTGTGCTGCGTCTGGGACCCCACCACGTCTGATACAACACAAACACACACACACACACACACACACACACATATATGCCACAGTGTTTACCAGAGGTGGGTAGAGTATCCTGGAAACAAGTACAGGAGCTGTGTTTTTCAATGCAGTGACTTTGCACTGAAGAAAGTGATGAGTTTACTTGATTCATTTCCACTGGAATAAAATAGAACAATCCGTTTGCCACTTTCTGGCAGCAGCTGTGTTGATGTGATATATTTCATTCATGTGGTAATGAATGAATCACTTTAGTAGCAAAATAGCAAAAATCAGAAGTATCAGGTCCACAAACTGCTTGTATTATAACCCGGCATATTAGGAACTGAAGCTTGTTTGTCTCCTCTTGTTGGGATCATTTTGGTTTGAATTAAAATGCTAAAGCTTGAAAGGAGCAACAGCAAAGCAGTCTAGAGCTGAACCACCATAACAGAATGAACTTAAACAGAAAAAAAGAAATTAGTAACTAAATGTGAAGAACTAAACTGTACCTGAGTAAAATGTAGATTCCTTTACAAATAGAGTCAGAGTACTTAAGTACATGTAATTTGTAGTATTTGGTTACTACCCACCTCTGGTGTTTACATTAGTACAGTGTACTGTGCAAATGTCAGAGACCGCCCATCATTCAAGTTCCAATCAAAATCAGAAAATAAAACAGAAGCCTCAACAACTAAATAGATTTTGTTCCAGTATTTAGTATATTCATCCTCTGCCTTTATTACAGCTACGATTCTTTTCAAGAGACTCGCTTTCAGCTTTCAGAAATCTGCAGGAATATTTTTCAATCTTAGAGTTGAGTTCAGTCTTAGTTGGTTGGTTGCATTTTCTTTTTTTCACAATTCAGGATTCAAGGGTGGTCATTGTTCTTTGCAAATATTCCTCCTTTTTTGTCTAGTTTCTTTTCTCAGTAACAGCTTCTTGACAGCTACACATCCTTTCAGAACCATAGTGCTGAGTTGTGTTCTCACAGTGAAAGGATGGACAGAAACAGCTGTGGATTTTTTCAGGTCTGAAGCAAGAGCGGAGCTTGATTTTCTCATAGATGAAAGCTTTAAGAGTTTATCTGATGAGGACAGTTTTGGTATCTACCAGGGCTGCATTCAGCCCAGACAAAACATTTGCTTTTACCGATGGTGGTGTGTTGAATACTCTATTGTGTTGTGCAAGCATTGCAACTGCGGCAGCTAAGAAGGCCATTCTTGGCATCGTTTTTCGAAGAATTTTCAGAGGCTAATGAAATACATTTAAATATGTGTTTAATACGTCAAAATACATCCACAATACATCTTCAGTTGTTGCGTACACCAAGCTGCAGTGGCCGCATTTGTAGAGGACTTTATTAGAATCCATAGTGCGCATTTCCTTCTCAATACGGCAGGGTTTATATACATGTCTGCTGATTGGGTAACTCCTCTGACACACCCATCGAAGAGAGAAAACGTACCTTAAGGCCCGTCACTCAACATATTGCACCATTTTGACGAAACATGGTGTTCAGCCCGGAAACTATAGCAAGATAGTGCCAACGTTCTGAGATAGAACGAGCCCCAGGTCTAACAAGGCTGCCCCCTTTTCTCTCTATCATTTGGTCATTTTATCTTTTAGTGAGTTCCAGTTTTGGAAACCACTGTTTTTTGTGCATGTGGATTATCTTGTGTCTACTATTGAGAAACATCTGAAACAGGAAAAACGTACATTATGGCCGTCTTGAGTGGAAATGAAATAAATGAAGGGTGGTCTCTGACTTCACCCTGTACTTCAAATTCAGCAGTGATATCTTTTCATACACTAACCTTCCTTTGTGACTCGAGGAAGTCTGAGTCTGATATTAACACTGCACTGTATCCCATACACTCTCATTTCTAGTACTTCTTGTTTCAGCCCTACATCTATGTACATAATTTCCAAGAATATGTCTATTATTTATTGAATTTGAGAGGCTCTTCAACATGTCCTTAGAACAGTGACTCTTTCGTCACAGATATGTATGAAAATGTTAAGCACGTCTCGGTTATGCTGTGGTGAGCAACGTCAATAAATAATAAAACTGAAGCTGTGCAACAAATTCTCCTGTGTGTGAGTGATGACTGTGCAGCAGGTGGATGAGTTCAATTTCAGCAGGATCAGTTAAGGAAGCTCCATGAGGCTCTGATTTAATAAAGATGGAAATGAACAGTGAGTCTGGGCGACAGGGTTGTGGGCTTATTAGCTTCTTTTCTCAGCAGCTCCCGTTTTGGAGGAGTTCCCATTTTTTCTTTCAATAACATTTAAGATGTTTAAATGTTGTTTTTTATTGTGTCAGTTGTACTTGATTGATTTATATGAAGAAAGCTGCAGTTGTGCTGTCCATCTTGTCTCAGAACAGCTCTCTTTGTGGAGAGGTGTGAACAGTTTTCCCAGCAGTGGAATCTCACCCCTCTCCTTTCACCCCTCATTGCTCACTGGCAGCTCAACACTGTCACATTTCACACAGAGAGAGCCAACAGTGTTTTACACTGTCAAATTCACCTCAAAAATTAAAAAGTTACTAAATTTGAAGATAACAGGAGAGTTAACAGTATGTTTTCTCAATGATGGTAAAAATCAGTAAAATTACAGTCATGTAATGTATTAAAAATACTGCCTTTTACTGTAATTCAACAGTTCACTGGTCTTTCTGCCATACCGTATTTTACCATAATAATCATTAAAGCCCCTGAAAACATGGTTTCAAATGTTCAACATGTTTTATTAGTAAAGATATGCCACGGAAAAAAAGTTATTTTATACATTTGTATTTATACATTTTTAAAGTTAATCGCTTATAGTGTGATCTGCAACAGGTGGCTCATGCAAAAAGGAAGCAGCGTAGCTATGCTACAAACAACAGTGTAATAATCCTACATAACAAGCACTGTTACATTTAGAAAAGCTTAAATAATCTGCTTGCTGGGAGTTTTGTCTGCGACTCAGAGCAGCGGGAGGTCAGTCACTTTATGTGAGAGTGAGAGTGACGTGATTATCTGATGTATACATACCGCCTACTCTGGTTCTTTGGCAGACCTGACGGCACATGCATGAAATTTAGCCCCACCCAACTCAAATCGTACAGATGAAAAAGGCAGAAAAAAGTTATTTGTAAAATCTCTCAACAGAAAACAGCAACAGTGTTCTTTCTCTGCCAGTCCAAACATTAGATAGTAGAAAAAAAATCTTGAAAATAAGTAGACAGGGGCTTTAAAATAAACACAAATGGCTGTGAAATAAAGCTGATCGTTTGTTCTATTGTGAATTTACATTCTTTTTCTGTAAATTAACAGCAGCAGCGTAAGAAATACAGAAAAATTCAGTATCTGTGGTAAATGTATTTATATACATTTAACCTACAGTAAAATACATTATATGTGGTTTATTTATATACATTTAACCTACAATAAGATACATAATATGTGGTTCATTTATATACGTTTAACCTTTTTAAAAAAGTATTAACCATTTATTACTGTACTTTTACAGTGAAAATCCTTTTTTTACAGCGCAGTTACTCTGTTAATGGAGTTATGGGGGGAAAAATATTTGATTATATTGAATAAAAATACTGACACTATTTCCATTCAGCTGCTGTGAACAGCAAATAGCGAGTCAGCAGACAGTCAGCAAAATTAGTTATTTGAACATATTAAAGCAAACAGCTGCATTTCTTTCAGGGCTTTATTTAGATATGCAACCATCAATCTATTACAGTCATGTTGACCATATTTATACATATAATGTATAAGAGCTAATTTAAAATTATATGTGATTATATCAACATTATTTAACAATAATGTCTCTAAAACTTTTATCCTTTAATACCAATGAAGTAGGTAGTAGGAAGGTGAGCGCTGTGGATTCCAGGTTGTGTTCAATGGATAAATGTCATTACAATGTACTTACATTGTCATTACACTGTTGTTATATTCTTAAATAATAATTAATATTATTTACAGCTCCATTATCAAAGTATATTAAAGTTCAACCCCAAGTTGTGAACTTTCATCAATGTAAATTTAAATATTCAAGAACATAATCCTACTTTACATCCCACTTTCAGAGCAACGCTTCTGAACGTTTTTGAGAACAAGAAGTTTTCTAGGCCGTTTTGTTCTACTGTGACAGAAAGGATGTAAATACAGCTAACAATAAAAGCTGAATCTGTTAGCTGTGCAGTAACACCCTCTTACTGATAAGCCATTATAAAGCTATCTTGATGCATTTCAAGAACACCTGTTTCAGTTATGCAGCAGAGAGTAAACACATTATTCACAGCATCTGTGCGTGTTAACGTGTGGAGCTGGGCCATTTTTAAGAGCAAGACTGAACACTGCAGTTTGTCATGTTTAGTGATTGAGGCCTTGAGTTGACCATCCAAAACAACGTCAATCCCACTGTTGTAGCGAAATAGCTAATCTTTGACGTAGTCTGTTATCGCTATTTGACGTTGTAGATAAATGAAGTAGGAACTGTATTAGGATCTGATATGATCACAGTTCAAGTTATGGGGCAATTATTTGGCCACAGTATTAGAAAAAGTAAATCGAAAGTTGCTGAGCTTCAATGCTGTGTCCGTACATTCCGTTGCTGTCATATCAAAAAATTAATTCATCTTTTTGTTCAGCATTTGAAAACATTAGTTGCCCTATATGTGAAGATTTGATGCTAAATGGACCAATAAAAACGGCCCAAAATGACTGTGAACAAAATCTCATAACATTAAAGGCCCATACAACCCAATTTTCTTTATTTTATTTCTTTTCTCTTGAGGTCTCCTAACAACATTTTATGGTTTTATTTACTAAAAATTCATGTTTACACGCCCATTTTCCAGCCTCTCTTTATCCCTCAGAATTTAACAGACCTGCCTTTAAGACTTATATAAGATCAACGAGCTCCGTACTGATTGGCTGTCATGTTTGTGCCTCATTCAGAGCTGAAGCTCTCCTTAGAACTTCAATGTGAGTGGGTGGAGCTAAACTGCTGTAGGCCAAATTAATTGATAGTACGGAAATGAGTTTGTGTGACTTCACAGAAACAGTGAATTCATAATGGGATGTTTTTGCAACTTGGTTTCCATACATGGACTGTATGGACTGGGTGGGGAGATTACATACCACTTCCATGATATGGCCTCTTTAACTTAACTGGCAGGCCCAAAGTTTTATTACACACTTCTATAACAGCTATAATAGCTCAGCCAGTTTGCATTGAAGTCCCTGTAGTTACTGAGTAATAAGCCTTAGTATGTAATAAGCCTGGACTTATAAGGGGCTAAAGGGGAATTCCATCAGTTTTCCAACATTTCTGCATAAATCAATCAATCAATGAGACTTAAACAAAGTCATTCGGAGTGGTTTGATGTGAAATGGTTCATTGTAGAGAAACGAAGAGTCACAGATTTCTCAACAATGGTGACCAGAGGTCATGATGTCTTCCACCAACTATAGATGAGGTCTTACCAAAATTCAAGTTATCTCACCAGTAAAAACGGTGCAGCATTCACTCTATACACGGTGAAAGGGTAACTTTATTCAGTCGAAAGCGTGACGTTTCTTTCGGCCCACATGTAAGGCTTTTGTTAGATGGTGCAACACAAATATAGCCATTTCATTTACTATCCAAACCCACCAGTGAACCCACACATGCCTGCCGAGTTTTTATATGTAAAGCACCTTGAAGAAGGCTTAGTGTGGACTGTATTCCCTACCAAAGAGCACCATTATTTTTTACTTTTTGTTGCATTTTCCAAGCACTCTTTACATTTGGTTTAGGTTTCATATGCAATGTTGATAATGGTGACATAGTGACAAATTTGGAAGTTTTCTTTGGGGCTGTTTGACTGTACATGCCCTGTATGTAACTTGCAGCCATGAATTGATTCATGTTTTGAATACATTTTATGACAAAAGCTTCATCTCAAAACTATTGTAAAATAATGTCTCAGAGAGAAGGTAACATATTTGTAACCATTTCATGTAATAACTTAATATAATATATATATATATATATATATATATATATTATATAAAAAATAACTTATATAACTTTGTTTTTCATGTAATAGCTTTTAGAGGTGTTAGACTCTTCAGACATCTGGTTCCTATCACCACTATGAACAATTCTGATTCAGTGAGTGTGTTTACATGCACTCAATAATCCAATCATAATCGGATTTCTGCAGTTATCTCATTATTCAAATGGTCATGTAAACAGCAGAAATCCGATTACTGCCTGACTCACGTAGACCTGGAGTTTTCCTATTACCCGATTATTATGCGCATGTAAATGCACTCAGTTTCTTTAGAATGCAGCATTTCACATCAAACCACTCTCAGTGACTTTGTTTACATCTTAACCATTTAACTAAGCAGGACTTTTGAAAGTTTCAATTTTTCCAAAATGTTAAGAACTGCTTCTCCTATGTTACCATTTTGAAGAAGTTTTAGTTAAGTGACACTTCACTTTCCTCCTCTGCAAAATTGGACAACTAAGTGTTCTCAGTAAAGCAGGTACTTCATTCTTTTTGTTAAAAATGACACATCACACAAGTATCAATGAATATATACACTTTATAAGGAATTAAAACACAGTTTATATTAACATACACTTTTGAAAAAGAAACATTCATTTCTGTTATGATCATATAGAACGACAGGGATCTTAGATTAATTTCAAGGTTAACTTGTTATTCGGAGGTACAAACAGACAATGCGGTGAAGCTTTCGGCCACTTAGCATTGCAGTCTAGTCATTGCTAACTGTGCATTAGGCTAGAAGCTTCATACCTGCCAAGTCATGTCAAAGGTGCTAAACATGAAGCTAAAAAAGAGGAAGCGTAAAAAAGAACAAGACACATTTGGCACAGTAACCCCTGTACACCTGCAGAGCTGAGTAAGGATAAGAAGCTCGTTTCAGATTAGGACTGTAACAATACGCTGTGATATCAGTACATTAGGTATTGTATTTGAGCTCTGAGTGCTGTAGGATATGGATATGATTGTTAAGGTGAACTCTTTGGGTGCCTCTGGTACCGCAGAACAACCCCGTTCCTCTATTGACATCTCTCCCCTTCACCCAGCACTCAACAGAAATCTAAACCTGCCCTATCACAGCATCATTAATCTTCTCAAATGCGTTAATGGTGAAGACCTGGGCTACGACAACTCAGGATTTAAGTGGTCCTTCTCTTTCACAGCCTTTTAAATGCCATTGATCTGCACACGTTGCCCAGATCTGTCAGTCTGAGCAAATAAAATAATACAAAATAAAATGAAAGGGGAAAAAACTGTGGGTTAGTTTCACCTTGAGGGGGATTAGTTCAGTTCTTCATAGGTTTTGGGCCAAAGACATGGGAGGACCATTTGCTAGGTTTAGCCATCTCACTTTAAAAAGCCACATGTAAGATTTTCTCAGTTTAATGGGGGGTTAGTTGAGTTCTTCACTGGGTTTGGGCCAAAGCCATTTCATATGTTATTTTTATTTACTAGCTTTAGCTGTCTTGATTTAAAAAGCCATGCGTAAAACATGATCATTTCCCATATTTCTTTTAGAGGAAATAATAAAATAAAATAAAAGGAAAAATGTTGGACCAGTTTGATGGGAGTTAGTTCAGTTCTTCATTGGGTTTGGGCCAAGGCCATATCAATGTGCCATTTTCCTTTGTTAGTTCTTGCCATCTTAATTTAAAAGGCCATGCGTAAAATATCATTGACCAGATCTCTTTCCAAGGACATAATAAAACATAAAATAAAAGGAAAACTGGTTTGATGGGTGTTAGTTCAGGTTTTTTATTGGGTTCGGGCCAAAGCCATTTCAACATGGCATTTTCATTTACTAGCTTTAGTCATCTTACTTTAAAAAGCCACTTCTAAGATATTATCATCACCCAGATGTCTTTTAAAAGAAATACCAAAAAAAAAAAATTGAAATAAATATAATGAAAAAAAAAATTGGGACCTGTTTCACCTTGAGGGGGTCTCGTTCCAATTCTTCACTCTAACTTTTGCAAACTATTTTAAAGAAACCAAGCCTACGACTAAAAGCATTGTTAAAAGTACTTGTCATATGAATAGTGCTTGTTCTAAAATTCAAACAGTGCTACACTTGGTCCAAACTTTCTGAAAATGCTGCTGAACAACATACACTTTAAGTGGTCAAAGTCAACTCACAGACAGAGCAAAAGAAAACAGATCCTCAAGAAGTGCAAATGTGGGTAGCTACATAAGCCTGAGGAGATTCGAAGCTAAGAACAGTGCCATACGATCGCTGCTTATGTACAAAAATATAAATTACACTTTGTAAAACCGTAGTGTTTCAAATGCCAATGCCAAACAAGCACGAAGCCTCGTATTGGACTTTGGGTTCAGAACGATGCCCTTGAGAGCAATATATTATGTCCACCATACCATGAATCAACTCCAACAAGTCCATTATTGACAAACAGCCCGTGTAATTTAACCTTCGCACTTAAATTATTGATCTGCTACTGATTCGAGAATTCCTGGCTTGGTGGAGGTGTTGGGCAGGGGGGTCGTTCAGATTACACGGATAAAATCAATAAATTGTAGTCGAGTTGAACTAATGACTCCCTTGTCAAATCTGTGTAATCGTTTTGTGCCCACTTAAACGATAGTTAATGAATATTGATGATCAGTGGATCTAATTACTTTTGAAATAAAGAAATATTCACTGGCCAGTGATCAAGCCTTTAAATGGTTGAACTGTTGTGAGTTTGATCCATGATGCGACTGAGTACTTGTAAGCTGCAAAACTCTCATCTATAAATGTATGTATTCAAACTCGTCTTAATTACAATTCCTGAAAACCTCTCTGCCCCAGTATATACAAGTGAAACAAATCAGATATAACAACGAGTAACTGCAAAGTAACATAGAAAGGAATACATGGAAAGCTATTCACAGTCAATTCTATCACCACAGAAGAGCCAGCATACAGTTCATTGCCGAAAGGGAACATTGGACACCGTCAAATAAAATGCCTGGCCACCAGACAGTAATAGGAAGTAAATATAAAAGGCAAAAGGAAAGGGTGGCTGAGTATTTAAGTCAGAGTGGCAGTTATATAAGCAACTACATATGCTTTTAAAGTCACTGCTGACTATCAAGAAATAAACAATACTGAACAATAATCAGATGTTAGTTTGACAATCAAAATGGAAAAATATCGTCACTGTCCATCCAAACCTTTTTTTTTTTCATTTAGAAAAACTGGTAGAATTCCTTTTTAACTTGCGTTCAGAGCTAAGGAAGCTTTTCTCCTTTTCTTTTAAAGTTACTATTTCGGAAGTACTTTTCTTATTACAGTGACGATATGCTCCACCGTGAAAGAACTCGCTCCTTGCTGAGTACATCCTATGAAAGATCACCCAGACAATGACGAGATTCAAACTGCATGCAGTCCACGAAGCAACAGTATACAGCTATCTATATATATGTCCCCAACCAAAAATGCAAAAAAAAAGTATCTTAACTTCAAAATGTATATCCTAGAGCTGCACAAAATGTAGTTTGACAATCGTTTCTGCAATATTCGCTGCTGCAGAAGACTACGAATGAGTCTTAGGATCAATTACAATGTCTTTCAACCCAATCAGAAAACAGGGCACTGTACAAGTCATTTTTTGTTCATCAAGGTACAAACAATGTAAATATACCCTCAAAGGTAGAACAATGGTTGTAAATGGGTATTTCTGCAATTTTTTAAAATTTCTGCATAATTAAATGATTTAGATGTACACACAGTCATTCATAGTGGTTTGGTGTGAAATGCTGATGAAACCTGTGGAGTTGCTCAGAGTGGTGGTGATGGGAACCAGACGGCCAGAGCGTTTAACGCCTGTAAAAGCTACCTCACGGGAAGTCATTACACAAAATGGTCATGAATGCATTGCCTGCTGCTGGAGACATTGGTTTCCAATAGTTCTGAGAGAAATGTTTGGCCTAAAACACATTTTTTTAAAACCCCACTCATGGTGAAAAAGGGTACATACAGGGTGTTTTAAGGGAAAATAGTCCCGTAAGAAAATGTATTTTTTACCATCATCAACATCACATATAAAAACTCAGAAGACATATATTGTCTCACTGGTTGTTTTAGATAGTGAATAAAATGATTATATTCTTTTTGTAGACATTGTAATCCCTGGTTCCTGTTACCACCACTGTAAAGAAATCCAAATCCAAAGTTTCTCTACAATGAATAATTTCACCCCAAACCACTCTGAATGACTTTGCTTACATCTCAATGAAACTGTGAAATCAGTGAAATTGATTAAAGGTAAACTACACTCACTTTCTACAATCAATTTTATAACGTAATGCTTTAAAGCAGACAAATACAATAAAAAGCTTGGAGTTAAGACAGGATGTATGGAGTCAATGTTCCTTGAAGGTTCCTGTGAGGGTACCACCCCAGCGACATGAGGGATACCACCCCAGCAACAGTTTAGCACCTTCTGAGTGTACTGTCCAATCGCAGTTCCAGATGAGCATTTTGTGAGTGTTTTGATAAATCAAAGCAAATTATTGCATCGCAAGGCATATAAAATAATCACAATGCTAGTATTTTGGCCATAAGGTGCAGCCCTAGTATATTCATATATCACGTTAAGAAGCATGACTTATCTGTTGTCTTTCACAGCCCCTAAGTGAATAGCTGTATATTAGTATTCAGTAGTCTGCTCAAGCTCTAATTAAAAGTCAGAGGGCCTGTCGGCCTGCGCCGCTCTGGGCGGGATTTCCATATTTCACACAGTGCGGATGGCTTTCGAATTCGTCCCTGGTGGTCCTTGCGTACATATTCTATTGATCTGATAATATCTGAGATACAGCGCCTCTGAGACACTGAGAACCACACAGACAGCCCGGCGTGCACTAGTGCTGGCCTGAGAGTGGATACACACAGACCTGCGAAAGGGCCGGGAGCAATATCAGACGTTTATAATAAAGTACTGTGCACAAGTCAGAGACTACCTTTCATTCATTTCAGTGCTTGCAACGAAAAACAGTATATATGACAATTTGTTTACATCATATAAGCACGGTATGGCATAGTTTGATGCTCTGCATTTTAAAAACAGGGGTTACTAATATGTAATTAAAGCATATTTTTGCTTTTTAATGTAAAACGTTGTACACAATAAAATAGCATATAAAATAAATGATAATTCAAAAAGGGTGGAATGGTTAAAATGTGTTTTTTAGTTTTGTTGGGTGGGGGCTCATTTAAATTCCTGTCAAAAATGCCATAAAGTACAAGCTATTTATTATTCAGTGTCAAGAAAAAAAGCAGAAAATATATATTTAACAGAAAGCCTCAACAACAACATATAACGTTTTTTCAGTATTTAGTGTGTTCACCCTTTATTGTTATTGTTATTATTGTCTTTATTACAGCTTCAGTTCGGTATTACAGCTTGTGTTTCGGTTTTTCAAACAAATCTGCAGGAATATTTTTTCACACCTCCAAAGTTCAGTCTTAGAAGGTGGTTCCATTTTCCACTTCTCACGATTCAAATAATCCCAAGTACAAATTTAGACTCATCAGTGCACAAAAACTATTCAATATTTTAGCTGTCCAGTTTTGGTGTTTTAGTGCAAATGTTCTTCCTTTTTGTCTATTTCCTTTTCTCTGTAAGGGCTTCTTGGCAGCTACACATCCTTTCAGACTCATAGTATTGAGCTGTCATAGCATTGAGCTTAAGAGTGTTTGTGTAGTTGCTTGTGTGAAGGTTTGAAGGGCAACATAATGTCTGATTCTATGGAAAAAGCCTTTGTTGGGAGGTTACAACTGGTTGGTTTTAATATCGGAAAGATGAAGGAGTTAAAGTGGCAGTAGGTGCAGAAAAAAGAGCGGACAAATTAAATACTGATAGATTTGATATTATACTTAGTGTTGGAGGCTTTGTGTCATTTTCTGTAAAATAAATATTATGAACTTGTACTTAATGACAGTTTTGACTGCAAATTAAATAAAACAAAGTGTAGTCTCTGACTTTTACACAGTATTGTATATCTCGCTTTTTATTCAGCCTTTTGGTGAAAAAATGATAGATATCTGGACTAAACAGCCCCCAGCAAACATGCAGTGTGTGATGCAAAACACAGATTTAAAGAATAAGAACTAAAATCTGGTCTGTCTAACTGAAAAAGCCATTTCAGAGAGTGCACAAGAATACTGATTTATACTATTTATCGCCAAAAGGCTGAAAAATCTTAACCACATCATCCAGCCCTAACCTGCAAGCGTTCACATATATGATGTCAAAGCTGAAAAAACACAAAACGGTGATACGTAAATATTCGGCCATGCTGCGCGTGCACACCTCTACTGAGTGCTGTGGTGGCAAGATGGGCAGAGCTTGTGCGATTGAGCAGCATACTGTACATGACTGGAACTGTCTTCTGTTTTCAGCATGCAGGAAAAAAGGAAAAACAGTAGTACTAAAACCGAGAGAGCGTGCAAGCCAGCCTTGCATGCATTTACATGCTGCAGGTTTTGGTCAAATAACTGGCAGTAAAATAAACTGGAGTGTCTTGAGAACTGTAAAACTGTACAATCTGTGCACAAAGGGTTTGTTTTTTCTCTTTTTAACCTTATATATAAAAAGACTTTCCCTTGATCTGTGTGTGTGTGGAGGGGGGTGGAGCTGGGGGTCTGTGCAGGCTATGAGATACTGTATTATATGAACTGCAATCCTATGTATTTAGGGACTATGCAGTCTCTAAATTCCGCTTTTTCTTCACTGACGCCCACCAGCAAACCTGCAGAAGAAGGAAATCAGAGACACTTTGTTATTGACTGAGCAAGTACATTTTGTTTTGTTGATACCTGTTTATACATTCATGCTCGCTGGACATTTGATGATTAAATGACTTTTTTAAATTAAGCCTAGTGTGAAGGTGAGATCTTGTTAGAAGCTGTGAATAATTCTGAAATATTAACTGTGTGCAGAATGAAGAACAGAACTCTAGATTCTAAAATGGCCTTAAAATCTATGTAACACTGGGAATGAAGTTATAATACAATGAATATCAATATATGATGATTCTTATTCAAAGGTAGTGGCCTCCACATGTTTGTGCAAAAGCCTTTGATGAGCAGATCGAATCCACAGACAACTGAACAGTCACTGGAAAAGATATAAATTAAATAAATAAATATCCTACAGGATCTGTACAAGCCTTGTACAAATTTGCTTCCATTAAATAGTGACCAAGAAATTATTCTCCTTGATTTTACTTGTCTTTACTTTCTGCTGTTTTAATTTTTTTAGAAATCTAAAACCTTTTGTTTATTTCTAGATTTATATTTTTAAATCCATAGACATTTTGCATTTCATGCCAACAACAGTCTACCAATAACAAAGTACATTGTTTAACATTGCTTAAAGACATGCAAATATTATTAATAACAAATTAAATGATCATCTGAACATTGATTTATTGTATAATACAGTATTACTTAGTCACTTTAAAAAGGAAAAGACCACAACACGTCATGCGTTACAGTGATTTTACCATCCAAATGGGTTTTAGCAATAACGCATAACTGTGGTAAGATCGGTCTCGCGTGGCTTAGTATGACTTTCTTATTTGCTTTATTTTATTATGACCTAAACAGAGATGTTATGCTTAATGCTAAGTTAAATTCATTTCTTCAAAGCCCACCCTGAGTTCTTATACCCAAGAAAAGGAATTTTAACCAAAGTAAAGTAACTGTGAATTCTATCTTCGATTCACAAACCCACTACAGAATTCCAACCTTTTCAACTCAAACCTGACTGACCACATCAGAGCTACCCCACAATGATGTACAAGCCACAAGAAGACTCGTCTTAACCTCTGACAGCGGTAGCCTATGGAACACACATAAAACTGGCAGCAAAACAAAATCACGGCCATAAAAATGCCAATACAGACCAACAGTCCAGGATATATGCCTCGCTAGGCATCTACAGCTATATGTAATTAATGAACACTGGCGTTTTTATGGCACTGCGCTAAGGTGTTACTAACGTAGCAAACAGCAAAACGTGGAGGATTCAATAGCCATAGATCAAGGGCAGCAGAGGGTCCTATTTTTATTATACACACAGGAGTAATCCCCACAGCAGCCCCTCAGTGGCTCAAAACAGCTGTGAATGTGTGCAATGAACTGGACAGAAGGGATATAAAGTCATACAGCATATACCAATGAAAGTATAACCAACTATACAAGGTGAATTTTATATACAGAGCTGCAGTTATATTGAATGTTTTTCAGTTTTTATTTATTTTACAAAATTTAAGAACTCCAGCTGTGGTTTACATTGCGTGGACATTTGTTGAAAGGTGGACCAACAGAAACTGTCCTGAATGAACATTAATATTAGGGCTGTCAAATGATTACAGTAATGAACGGTAATTTATTTCATTATTTTGCACAGTTAACCGCAATTAATCACATTTGTCTTATTAGCTTATTTATCCATTTTAAAAGCGGTGCATTTTGTTAAAGCAGTATGGATGGACAAAATAAGATTCATTAGAACGTATTCATTACTTTTAATCACTCAATAACATTAGTTATATCGCAAGAACGCAGCATTCGCATGAACCTGAACATGAAAATCATGTGATTTCCATCAACAACATTCGGTGAGAGCAACAGTGGCTGTATGTTCCAACCAATGAGTCTATATGCCATACCTACACAGTCAAACCTCTAACATGATTGTAGCCTCTCGGTTTCCCTCTTGTTCATAAAGCTCATGTATTGCTAGAATGGAGGCTCTCAAGAGGAACAGGAGCTTTCCACTTTGCTGTCTGTGCACTGTCCAATGTAGTGTGACGAAGATACTAAAGGTACTTCTTTAAAATGTCAAATGTCAAAAGTCAAATGTGTTTAGTCAAGTGCTGTTAATGATTTATTGTGTTCACCCATGCGTTCATAACTAAGACAGTTCTAATTATTATACATCAAAATTAAAAATGTTTTTTCTTCTCCTATAAAGTTTCCAGATATCACCTACCCTTTTATGGGTCCATATTGTGGGTCAGTGGACATTGTGATTCAGTGCAAAGAACAGGAAAACAGGCTTAAAGAAACAGAACAAAAGTGTCAGATTAGAGGAAACAACAAAGCATTACTCTAAAATGATTCCTTTCTTTAAAAATTAATAGTACTATTGATTATTATTTCTGAAGATGAATTACCTTGTGGTCTCCCATACAGACATTCGGGCCCAGTGTGTTATAAACAATGTTATTCTCATCTTCTCCCTGTGAATGATGAACAAATAAAAACAGAACATTTTTAATGTCCTAATTAATTATAACTATATTCACTGAAGTATGTGCTCATTTTACTGGGTTTACTAAAAGGTGTCAAGGCTGTTTTCAAATGTTAAAATCCTAATAAAAGCTTGGTTTATTATTCTTATTGTTTATATTTCAGTACTGCATAAACAGTTCCTTGGGTCACAGAAAATAATTTTGAACTGCATGAAAATAATTAAATAAGGGCGAAAGTGAGATGCATTAATGCATACTGACATAAAACTGCTGTCAGAATTTTACATCCCTAAAAATCCTTGAACTGACAATCCAAAAATGGGGTTTACTGATTAGGAATCTTCAGAAATAAATTTGAAATTCTTCAAAACTAAAATCGTCATCTAAAGCACCAAACAAAATAATGTAATTACACTATGAACTCTCAAGCTCTTTTTGTGTAACTTGGAATTTATATTATATCCATTACCATATTAAGGCTAACTGTTTGTAACTACGTTATAAGGCAGTACCAACCCTGAGCATGATGTCCCGTGCACTGTGGGACATGAGGATGCGATCACACCAGGATGGGCATCGTGTGTTCATGTACTGAGTGGGTTTAGTGTTGTCTTCACTGTAGGGGTAACTGTAACATAAATAAACAGAACATCAACACAACAGTCGTTCAGCATATACACAGTATCTTCAAGATGATGATTTATTCAGGTCGTCAAGTGATTACTGTAAATTCTGCTTGGTTCTCAGGAGGTTAGTCACCTGGGTGGGAACAGAATCTCCTCTTCTCTGATGACATCGTGGAACGCTTCTATCTCCTTGTCATACTTCAGGAGCTGTGGGGGTGAAAAGCAGGAGAAACACTGGTGATGAGCTGTGTAATTGCTGACTTAAAGGAGCTGTTTTCTATATTTCTCTTCTATTTTTACTTTACCCCTTTAGACTAAACAGGCTGTTTTTATTACTGTGCCTTTAAGACCTCTATTCTGATTGGCTGTCCTGTATTGTGCCTCACTCAGAAAACAGTCTGGGCTGAAATGTACAGAACAAACTGTACAGAACAAAAAGTTTGTTGCTGTTGTGTCTTGGAATTTGAAACTTCAGAGGAGAAGGAAAAAACTTAGACACTAAGAAATAACTTTGAATGTAAGTTAATGGAACAAGATTTTAGGTAACATATTAAGGATTATTTGTACTGTTCCGTTCATCATGACTTTTTCAAATACCATTAAGGGAAGCTGGCGTTTTGGAATTATCATTTTCTAATTTTCTTCCACCATAATATTTCTGCTACAGAATGTCTGCTGTAACAACACTTCAACATGGCTGGGCGGCTAAACTGTTAGCTGAATGGGGAGGCAAATGCAAACGTGTTCATGGTTGTGACATAATATCAAGCATGACTGATTAAAACTTGCTGTTTTCGCAGTTTAGTTGCCATATAGGGTCTGTATATGGTAAATTCTTCCTTTAAAAAGGTGAGGAAAATTTGTTTTTCCATGACGTGAACTCTTTAAAGTCATACATCACTCCAGATCTACAGGACACTCACCTCTTTTCCATTGTTCTCTCTGAAGACTGCCTGGTGCAGGTATGCAAACAGCTTAGTCTCAATATGGAGAAGGACCTGCTGGTGGGAGGGAGAGTGAGGAGAAACAGAGATGGAGGAAAGAAAGAAAGAAAGAAAGAAAGAAAAAAAAAGAAGGAAAGAAATTGAAATAAGAGAGAGGGGCAGAAAAAGACAAGCAGGGGGAAATGACAAGCAGAAAAAAAGAGAGAGAAAGGAGGAAGAAAAAGACAGCGAGAGAGAGCAGAGAAGACAGAGGTTAATGTAGGGCATTTGAAGAACAAGCTGCTAAATGCTGAGAGTAAGTCCAAAAAGCCTGGCACATAAAATGAATCACAGCTCAGCGTGAGCATTCTTAATGCACACACGCATTTTCTCCACTGGCAAAAAGTCAATATCTTCTCCTCGGCCATAAATCTGGCTGGACAGAGCGCTGGTTATGTTTGGGTGAGCACAACAGGAGGGGATTAATCATCTCCCAGAAACTGAAGAGCACAGTTAGTGCACCGAACAGCAGAGCTGGCACTTTCTCTGTGATGTCATTGCTATTTTACATTTGCCTTATGTGACTACAACTCTGCCTGTTGTGTTTATTATTAAATATTCACAGTCTCAGCTCTGCCCAGTCTTCTCAAGAAACACAGGAAAGCCCATTACAACTTGAAGTAGCCAGTTTATACAGCACATAACAAACAGGAAAATTAATTAATGATTTATTTAAAAATACATTTCCCACAATATTCATCAATGCAGGTTTTTCAGTAAGCTAGGACATGGTTTAAATATCGCTAGTCACGTTTACATGTAGCCTGATAATCCGTTAATAATCTGACTAATAGCTCAATCGGAATAGAACATGTCCACGTGTACATCGCAGTCGGTATAGACTAGTCCGATTGAGGCCAAACACAATTTCTATCCGATTGCACGAGGTGTGTGATCCTGTAAATAATCTGTTAAATAGAAGAATAATAACCATGTAAACGCCTGTATCCGATTACTTTCCCAATCGGCAAGTTTAAGTACGTTCTGCTCACGTGCGTCACGTCATATAGAAAGTTTATAGGGAGCAGAAACTGGTCTGCAGAGGAGACGAAGTTTATGCTTTGAACTTTAAAAGACGGCGGTGAGACGGGCGTCCAGCTTATGTGTCTCATAACACGACGTCTTCGTCTCGCCCTTCTTTAACAGTACACGTGAAGTACATTTTCCTGAGTCTGATATCATTTTAAAGTAATTAAAAACACAAAAACTCATCTCACTCTGACTGGACTCACGTGATGCTCGTTGCCTTGGCAACATCTACACTACGTGGTACTCTACGCATGTGTGTAATTTTGGATTGTATTACTTGTAGTGACACAGCTACACTCTGTGCACGAAGATCCCACACACTGTGAATTCTCTGGAAAATGACCTGCTTTATTCACACGTGGGTTCACCCGGACATTCTCCGGACTTTGTACTAGGGGGCTGGCAGGATCAAGTCCAGGTAATGTCTGATACAACTGATTTAGACATTTGCGTTCAAACATACAGCTCCTCTGGGTAATGTCTGGAAAACTTCTGGGTCACTGTGCATGTCTGAAAGGCTCATTATGTACCCAATTATGCATTTTCTTGTTCAAAAATGTAGAGTATTTGTAATTAAATATGCAATACATTACATTCTAGATATGCAACAACACCACTGAAAAATCATGTTATTAATGGAAAAGAATGAATAAATCTGCAGCAATAGCCATGGATATTGGATAACAGGATACAGGATAAGGCCCAATTCCATTTCTTATTTTTCACTCCTATACCTTGTTTTCGAGCATCACCTTGCCCCTTGGAACTGAGTTATAAGGGGTAGTGGTTGAAGTCTTCCCCTACGAAATGTGACAATCCTCAAATAAAGAAGAACATTACTTCATTAACAGGCTACTAGCGCTGCTCTGTAGGCAACCCTGCCAGTCTGCAGTTATAGCAGAGGAGGGTAAACTTCAGCAACCTCACTGCTGGTCTTTATTTAAATGGGATGTGATAATTATTAATTATCATCCACCCTTATTTCTTTGGTGATATGACGCTGAAGTCAGCTATTCACCAGTTTCTTAATCAAATTTTCCCATTCCACCTTAAATGGAGCAGCAGTTATATTCTGGTGCTTCAAGCATCAGTACTGCTGGACTATTTAAGGTGTAACGGGAAATTTGGCTAGCTACAGAGACATTAGCAGACTGTTAGCGATTTTTTTATGCTTGTTATAAGGAAAAGGACCATAACACATTGAAACAGCATTAAACTAAGGCAATACAATGGTTATCGGAATTTTTTAATGGAGAAAATTCTCACATTTGTGGGTTTCTTTGGTTGTTTGTGCAGCCTTTGAAAAACCTCCGTTTGGGGGGCCATGTAGATACTTCGCCACATTCCTCTATCTCAACAAAAGTCAGGACACCCTACCCCTAGACGTGAACGCGCAAAACAAAGGGCTAAGGGCTAAGTGGTAGGGGCGAGGGGTGAAATGGGATTGGGCCTATATGTAATATTGCAAATGATGGCGTTAGCTTAGTGTTAGCTAACAGCAGCCTGTCGACTACTACGTTTAGAGCTGATCAGTGCACAGCATCACTAATCTAATTCTCTAGGCCACAGTGTGGAGATGCACCTTGTGGTCGTTGTCTTTTTCCTCATAGATGATCTTCTCCACCTCGTTACTGCTGTCTTTCTTCACCGTCTGAACTTCAGCAGAAGTGGAGAGGTTCTGTGCACAAACAGAAACATACACAAATCACACAGCTCACTGTCAGTTTGAAATGAGGCCTGGTATTTTGTTTTCTGCACTGACATTACAGCAGCCATGAACGCATGGTTGCTTGTGCACTATATGAATTATTGAATCATACCTGCACTAGACTTTGTGTGTCGAGGCGGAAGTTAAAATCTCCAAACAGGAAGAAAGGCATAGGGCTGTAGATACAGTCTGATATCCTGCAGCAGAAAACAGTCAGAAACAAACTAAACCTGTAAGATTACATGAGGTGAATACACACAACTGACTTTGCTAGCTCCATGTCATTTAACCTTTAGAAGTCTGAGTTATCGCAGGTGATACAACAGCATGTTGTAATTGTATATGTCGTCACTGTCTGACAATAACTTTGTATCTGCGAAATGGCAGGAGAATGAAAAAACCATCTTAACTTTTAAGTATATGTAAAAAAATTGTATTCCAAGTTAATTTGGGTCATCATTTGGTACAATAATCATTCATTGTAACACAGTGTAAAGGGAACCTGCATTTTAGTATGCCGAAAAATGAAAGCGAGAAAAATCGAGATACAAGGGTTTGTTCTGACAGCGACTATACATTTAGACCTCATTGAAACAAGCAAAGAAATTGTGTATTCTAAGCTTTCAATTAACACCACATTCGTGTTTGTAAGTAGATTATGAGAGAGTTTATTATGATTTGTATGATCTGAATTTGATGAAAAGTTACTGTTGTTCTCAAAGTTGTCAATACAGATAATCAAATATGTACATCGTGTAAGTGCACTCACAGAAACTGTAAGCATGCAACTTTTCTGCTGCACAGTGAGAAGCATTTGCCGATGAATATTTAATCTAAAGTGAAGACAAACCAATTTCTGAACATTTTATATAAAAGCAGTGTGGAAACCATCAGGCAACAATGCTGTGGCTAACAACAGAAAGTCAATGACTTTTCTGTCATGAGAACTTTAAATTTTCTGTGCTCTTTTATGGATAATTTTGCACTGCTTTTTGCTCGAGCTAAAGAAATTTGAGAGCAATTTATTTTACTTTTCTCATCTTTCCTCAATATTAGACTGTAGAAATATGGTGCTTATTTTTTATACAGGACGTTTCATAACATCAACTCAACATAAAATGTTAAACTCTTTTCTTTAAAAAACATTAAAACAATTTTTTTATTATTTTAAAATATTATTTGAGTCTGTGTCAGTACTTGTTTCTCAGAAATATTTTAAATAAAAAAAATTATTACAAATTTCTAGTTTTATTGAAAACTTCCTCTCCCTCAAAACAAAGAAAGTACAAACATTGCTGTAAATAAAATAGTACTGCAAAATCAAGCAGTTTAGCCAGCAAAAATCACAAAATAAGGGCATGAGATCCTGTTGGGGCTGAATAGTACAGCAACATGAATATAGAAATTCTCATATTTATAAGGGTGCCAAAAGTTTTTTAAAAGCTTTTTCTGTTTGAATTATTTTTCCATACTACAAACATATTGGAGTGGCCATATTGCTGGGATAACGACTAACCTGTTGATGACGTATCTGAGTGCTTTCTGCCGGTTTGTGGAGTACACTGAGGGACTTGAGTTGCAGGCAATGAGGTTAGATGCATCGTGGAAGAGGTGCACATTCACCAGGTCCAGGCCCCTACACACAAAGGAACATACATTTAAACAACTAAAGAAAAGCTGTTTTTCAGAACAGATCAATGTTGCCTTTTTTTTGAAACCCCTTCCTTGTACTTCCACTGGTCACTTAATGAGGTCCACCTAGCTTATAGGTTCACTATACAGGTGTACAACTACATTTGTTGAGGCACAATTTATCAGCCGCCTCTACACATCCATCACTGGTCAGTTTCTGACCACAAGACCAAGGTATTATTTGGGTGATGTATCCTTCTCAGCATAGCAGTGATACTGACATGATGGTGTGTGTGGAACTGGTATGAGTGTATAAGACGGTTTTAGACTTGTCAGTGTCACTGCTAGGTTTAGAAGTGAAAAGCCAGCCAACATATCCAGCCAGGAGCAGCTCTGACTTCAGAAACTGACAACTGATGAAGGAATAGAAGAGGACTAACACAAAATCCGTATTATTATTTTAACCCAATTTTCTCCAATTACACCCACTAGTTAGGACTCCCCCAATCACACAATACTATCAACGCTAGGAGGGCAGAGGCTAACACAGGCTTTCTCCGAGACCTGTGAAGCCAACCACCGCTTCTTTTCAGACTGCCGCTCATACAACGTCATTGGACGGCTGAACGCGCTCGGAGGAAAGTGTCAACCGCCAAATCTGTTACGTCAGCTAACAGATGCCTGCGCTGATTAGCATCGCGCTGAGTAAAGGGGGGAGAAGGGGGGGCGTCCTACCCACCGAGGGAGAGCGAGCCCCCACAAAACCCGTTTTTAACTGTAAAATATAATGTGAGACACATGTTCACTGTACATCACTGTGCAAAGGTCAGTAATCACCAATAACTTATTTCCAGTCAAAACAGCCAATAAGTACGAGTTATTAATTTTTCAGGAGATATTTCTGAGGAGACAAATCCACTTGCATAAAGAAGGACAAAGTTAAAGGAAAATAAGTGAAAAAACAGGAGTTTCAAAAAACAGAGGTTAAAACATTATTAAAACAGTACATAAAGCTTCCAGGTTTGAGAGAAAATCAATAAAAAAATATTAATAATAATAACTTGTACTTAATGGCTGTTTCAACAGGAAATCTTGCACCTTTGTACAGTACTGTGCGTGTGCACTGATACGTATTTCTGCTGCAGTGCGTGTTTGCCCATGTGTACCTAAGGATTTGTGTGTATGTGTGTGTCAGTCTCTGTATCAGTGCTGTCAGTCTTGCAGTTGCTGTAAGTCATTAGCTGTGGGCTGTGTGAGTGCAGCCCAGGTAACATGGAGGCTTTCCTCATTTATCACCCAGCAGCCCTTCAGCCTCCATTCACTCTCCATTCACCTGCTGCCACGCCCGTCCTATTAATGCACATCTGATGGGCCTGCGTGCTTATTCACACACATCCAGTGACAGCCTGCAAATGCACATCTTTTGTTTTGCACGCAGCTGAGCTGAGGCCAAGCAATATGCAGACACGCACACAAGGTGTGACACTTAGAGGAGGAAAAGCTGAATGTGCAGGAAAGACACTGTGAACTTGTTTTCATATATTTTCAGCTAAAGATTATCCTGACTTTGCAGGAAAACATATATTATTTACTTACATATATTATTACATAAAGGCAGTTACATATATATGTAATGCATTATGCATCAAACAAGTCCCAGTACATAGAGACTTATATGATTCAAACGGCACACTGTTATTACATACAGAATGCATATTATGTAGGTACTTGCAAATATTATTACATACAGGTGGTTACACCAATATAATGCATATAGGACGTATTGCTAATACATATAGGTAGTTAGATATTTAATACATATGGAATGTTCTAATACATAGATACTTAAATATATAAAATGCATATAAGACGTTATTATTACACATAGGTTCTTACATCATATAAATATATTTGTGTGTGTGTGTGGTGTGTGTGTGTGGTGTGTGTGTGTATAAAATGCATATGGGACATATTATTACACATAGATATATATAGGTATCTATATGTAATATATAGTGTATATGTAATACTCATGGGACATTTGGATCTTGTATGTGAACTCGTGTGTGTGTGTGTCTGTAAGTGTGTTTGTGCACATCAGTGTTAACATACTGATTGTGAATGATCCACCGTGTCCTCATGTAGCCTTTTCTTGACCACTTGATCTGAAAAAAGGACATAGAGAGAAATTTGATGTAAAATTCTGTACTTGTCTATCTGAAATACACTGCTGTTCAAAAGTAAGAAACCACCATCAATTTATTTCCCTTTAAAAGAGCCATTAAGAGCATGTTATTCATTTTTCAGCATCAGAAAAAAAGCAGAAAACCTAAAACCTAGAAGCCTCAACATCAATATAATATAATAAATATTTTTCAATATTCAGTCTGTCCACGCTTCGCCATTATTCCTCTTTTTTCTATTCTTTATCATTCTTCTATTATTCTATTCTTTATTATTCTTCTGTTCTTTTCAGGAGGCTTTTAGTTTTTCAGAGAAATCTGCAGGGATATATACTCCAAAGTTCGGTCCTGATCATGACCCAAGTAATCCCTAGGACATTCAGTGAACGGGTGGTCTGGACTCTGAGGTGGTCAGTCCATTGTTCTGAGAGCACCAGCAACTTCCTTGATTTTTCTTGTCAGCTACACATCCTTTCAGACTCTTAGTGTTGAGCTGACTTCTCACAGTGGAAGAAGGACAGCTTGATTTTCTCCTCTCTCTCAGGGTTGCTGTTAATCTGATGGGGACAGCTTTGGTCTAGCAGGTCTTGCAGGTGGTTGTTAGGAATCCCATTTTCTGTCTTGTAATCATTTTTTTTTCATTTTTCATTTGACCTTCTCTTAGGCAAGTGAACTTTCTTCTGTCTTATGCAAATGATTAATCTCGAAAAATGAATAACTTGTACTTAATAGCCATTTTGACTGGAAATTTCATTGAGTGGAAAACATTAATTACATTTAAATTTCGATCAACTGTGCGCTTTCTCCATGATTATCCATGTTTTACTTTGTCATTGAGGAGAAAAAGGAAACATTAGTTTTCAGCCTCACCAGAAAATCAGATTCTAAATTACCACAATAATAATAATTTAAACTGCAAAACTGAAGTTACGACTAGACATATTAAACGACACCTGTTGAGGAGCACATATGCCTGAAATGATTCGATGTTAGGAAACTAACATCAGGCAGCATCTTTAACAACAACTCACATCAGTCCAAAAATTCTTGGGGAATTTTTCCTTCTCCAGTGTAGTGACTCCATCCAGGGAGCCCACGTACTTCTTGTGTCCTGAGACGGATTTAAACTCCCTCGCTAGGAGAGACAAGGAGGGAAGAGAGGGTGAGTAAACGAGAGAGAGAACGAGAGAGAAAGAGACATGCAAACACAAAATCAATACGCTAATGTTAGCCTCACTCCCCCTCACCCCGCAGCGGGTGCTGAGAGCAGGATCCATAGGACATGAATTTAATGGGGAACCAAATTCGTCAGCGCACTGATCTTTATGGCTCTTCTATTAGGCTTCTTCTTAAAAGCTTATTCATGAGACAGCGTGACCAGAATGTACGACTGGAAAAATCTCCTCATTCCCCCAGAGAGGCTAACCAAATCAGAGGAGTTCTTAAGTCTCAGTTTCAGAGTGTTAAGTTGTGTAACGTAGAATGAGTTGTTAAAAATGAATAATTATGTAATGGTATTAAATGAGGCAAAGATTTGATGAAGGCTGAGCACTTACTATACCATATGATAGAGCACAACTCTGCTATACTCATGTCAGTAACACTAGGTTTAATGGTGGCAGGTAGATGCTAAACACATTCTAAACACATGTTCTTAAGGGGTTAAAGAAATTGGTGAAAAATCTACAGGACTTACAGTGCCTTTACATTTGCCACATATCATGTTTCCATAAATACATGCCAAATTCCTTCTGCATTCCTATATAAATTATGTTGATAAGCTACATAAACTCATTTAGAAAAACAATTTAGTAAAATGTCATATATTTATACATTTAGCTAAAATGCGAACTTCACTATCATCTGCATAACTCCCACTTTCCGGTATTGTTCTGCCTTTAGACTGGAGCATGGGGCCATGCTGTGAAATGTCATTCTGCAGGTTTGTAGCATTAGCTCAGTAATGTCTAAGGCTTGCTTACTTAAGAGAGTCAGAAGTTGCACATGAAATAATGATGAACCTACAAAAATGAGGTTGCATTCCATTTTACAAAAACAACAAAGAAATCTGGTCGTCTGGTACGTTACCATTTTTCACCTGATGATACCCAGCAATGTTAGCCTAGCAGCTCTAGTTCTAAACTAAAGAAGCAAAATTTAGACACCGGATTTAAAAATATTTAACAATTTGACAGTAACTTCACAGCTAGCATGATGCTCATTGGTGCCTTTAAGCTTCCATTACTTGTTAGCTACATTAGCCTTGTAGCTCCAGCACAAAACTGAAGAAACAAACTTCAGACATCAAACATGTCTCAGCTGATTTGGGAAAAACCTGTATCATCAAGTTGAAATGTGTAAGGATGTGACTGACTAATTCGGACTAATTTTGATATTCAAGTATCCAAAATCAACAGATATTCGGTTAAGTGTAGGTATATTTAGTCAACTTCAGATGAGCTAATTTTAAGGCAAAATAGCCTATGAGCTAATGCTAACGCAATCTAATGTACGATAATGAGGATTTGTTGCATCTACAGGTGATTTTTTTTCCTCAGTGGACGATGACAACATGCTACTTTTCCAGAGATGCACTGACATCACTTCATCCCTTCCAATACCAATACCGACACGAGATTCTTGAATATGGGCCAATAATTTTGATATTCAAGTATCCATAAGTGTTAAAGAACAGATATTCGGTTAAGTGCAGGGATATTTGGTCAACTTCAGGTGGGCTAATGAGCTAATTTTAAGGCAAAACAGCTTATGAGCTAATGCTAACACAATTTATGATAATGTGTTAGTTAACATGTAAGTTTGTCAGAGAAAATATCATTTATTTGTTTCTGGACCTAGCTAACATTAGTTAGAGTAGTTATTCTAGTTTGTGTAAAAGGCGCGCTATCTCTGTGTCGTCAGTCACATCCTTGACATTGCAACCACATTCAGGCACTCATGTTTCGAAGTAGCAAAGTATAATTTAATACACTTATAAATACTGACAAAACTGTCATATTAAACAGCTATAAAAACATAAATTCAGGGTTTCATTGAATTGTCAGTGCGTATATTTTCTCTGCCTTCCGATAATTTAACATAACAAATACCCAAATATGCATGTCAGTATTCAAATACTGGCGCTTCAGTACTTGAGCACTTGAGTACCCAGGCACATCCCTAGTTGAAAGTCATTCGTTTAAATTCGGCTGAGCTTTAAATATATAACATTATAAATATATAACATTATGTATGTCAATTAAGATATGCCTTATAATACACAGATCAGGCATAACTTGTTTCTATGCTCATTGTCCATTTTATCAGCTCCACTTACTATATAGGTGCACTTTGCAGTTCTACAATTACAGACTGTAGTCCATCTGTTTCTCTGCATACTTTGTCAGCCCCCTTTTACCCTCTTCTTCAATGGTCAGGATGGTCCCCCATGGACCCTCACAGAGCAGGTACTATGTGGGCGGTGGATCATTCTCAGCACTGCAGTAACACTGACGTGGTGCTGGTGTGTTAGTGTGTGTTGCGCTGGTCTGAGTGGATCAGACAAAAAGGTGCTGCTGGAGTTTTTAAACCCCTCAGTGTCACTGCTGGACTGAGAATAGTCCACCAACCAAAAATATCCAGCCAACAGCGTCCTGTGGGCAGCGTCCTGTGACCACTGATGAAGGACTAGAGGATGACCAACACAAACTGTGCAGCAGCAGATGAGCTACTGTCTTGACTTTACATCTACAAGGTGGACTGACAAGGTAGGAGTGTCTAATAGAGTGGACAGTGAGTGTTTAAAAACTCCAGCAGCACTGCTGTCTGATCAACTCAGACCAGCGCAACACACACTAACAAACCACCACCACGTCAGTGTTACTGCAGTGCTGAGAATGATCCACCATGCAAATAATACCTGCTCTGTGAGGGTCCATGGGGGTCCTGACCACTGAAGAACAGGGTAAAAGGGGGACTAACAAAGTATGCAGAGAAACAGATGGACTACAGTCTGTAATTGTAGAACTACAAAGTGCACCTATATAGTAAGTGGAGCTGATAAAATAGACAATGAGCGTAGAAACAAGGAGGTGGTCCTAATGTCATGCCTGATCTATGTATATTAACAATGTGTTGGTAAATCAATAACATGCTTAAAGATTTCTTTTCTTTATTTTGACCAAATTAATTTACTTTTGTTGGATTACATAAATATCTTGATTCGTTCAAACACCCATGCTTCACAGCACACAGTAAAACCACTGTGACTGGTTACTGGTGTGATTGCATATTGCAGCTTTTTGCCCTATAAAGGACAATATTATGTTTACAATTAACAAACACTATATTGTTCAGTCCTATATGACACTTAAAATTACTTCCTTTCTGCAATTTTTCTCTCCTCTCTTTCTGGCAATCTCTTGACACAGTCGGACTCTAATAACTACAACACAATGTAGGCTCCTGATAAAAAAGAAGAATTAGCAAACCCTACACCCTAAAACCTTTTGTGCTGGGCCTTATTAGTTCAATGATAAAGAGCCAAAGGATACAGTAAGGCTTTGTCAAAGTGTTCTACAGTTTCTGACGAATGTTTGCACTACTGAACGGAACGAATGGAAGAGCCACGTGTTTGACTTGTCTAACGCCGTGTTCGGTTTCATATGCTTTATCTGCATGCTGTTGGATTAGTGCAAGCCAGCTGCCTGTTTTGAACAATGACTGTGTGTTGACGCTGCACATGAGATTATTAAAACCTTGTTTATCTATGTAGATTAAAGTGATCAGAAGATGCCTTTGGTTCAGTGAAGTAAGAGAACATTTCAGAAACTCACTATTGAAGTCATATTGCTGTATGTTCTTCAGGGACTTGTGGATGAAGTACATGCTGCCCAGGGCCTGCACAGAGAAAAGAAGGTTAGCATGCGGTTTTACGTTGATAAACCACAAAGAAGGACTATCTATACATACTTATTAATTATACACACTGTCCTGATTATTGCCTATTGACATCCAGCACAGAAGTCAATACCTTATCCAAACACTCAGAGACAAAAACACAGCATGTTTAAAGCAGAACAATGTATTAACCTATGAATTCCTCTTTTTAACCCAGTTTTAATGTTTTCCTTTTTTTGTTTTCTGTGATTCAGATTTTTACATTTTGAATAATTAATTAGAAACGGAAGAACTTATGACCATAAATACTGTGAACTTCATATTAGCTGAAATAACATCTTCTTTTCAGGACTAAAGTAAATAAAATGTAACTGTCATTCTTCATTTATATGGACATTTATTTTTTCCAGAAATTACCTAGAAATTGAAATAAAACCATTTAAGGTTCACTTTACTGTAATGTTGCCATGACAGCACCAAACCTTTTATAAAGATTGCACAATTTCCAATACTGATGTTGAAACCTTGAAAATAGGCCGATATAGATGTTGAAACCTTGAGCAACATCCATCACCGATATCAGCTGATACGGATATTAAAAGTTTAAGTATTGTATGATATTGATATTCAAACCTTGAGTATCAGCTGATACCCATATTGAGAGCTTGGATATCAGGTGATACCGATATTGAAAGCTTGAGTATCTTATAATGTTGATGTCAAAACCTTAAACATCATCCAAAACCGATACTGAAGCCTTGCGTATCAGCTGCTACAAATATTGCAACCTGAGCCAGTAGTGATACTAAACTGATGAGTATCGGTCAGAACTGATATTGATACCTTGGGTAATGGCCAAAAACGATATTAAAACCTTGAGTATCGTCTTCTATCAATAAGAAAACCTTGAGTATAGATCGATACTGATATCAAAACCTTAAGTATCAGCCAAAACTGATACTGATTCCAGAGATGCATTGATGTCACTTCATCCTTTTCAATACCAATAACGATACCAGTTTCTTGAATATGGCCCGATGCTGAGTACCGATACCGCTACTAATTTTGTCTTATAACTAACCTAACAAGCTTCCAAGATTCAGGTGGTGCAAGTGGACATACAGGCTTGGCCAGTGGGCTGCTAGGCTAAAGGCTAAACCAAGACTAAAGACGGTTAAGATGGTTACCTCAAGAGACTGGTTCCTTCCATATGCCTTCCTTACATTTGCCCCCTCAGTAACAATCTGGACTAACATTAACGCACACAGTGAAAGATGAGGGATTCCTGAAAAAGCCTGGCTCAGGAGTTGAGCTAAGGTGCTCTTGTTAGAGTGTTTTACACTGTGTGTACACATTATCAGGTTATCTGGGTTTTCTGGTGTATTTGTATGGCATCGGTGAAACCAATAGCTTAGGACGAATTCCAACTGGTGTATCACCCACTTCTACTGTTTTTTCACAAAATACTGGTAGAAGTGTTTTGCCAACATTTTTACTGCTGCTTGTCAACTGCTGATGTGTTGTCTGCTCATGCATGCGCCAGCGCACGTGTGCATCAGAAACTGTTTTGTGGTAACGATACTGACAGTACTGGCATTACATGCCAGAACTGGCACCTGTAACTATACATTATTGGTGCAACTCTAATCGAATCCTTCAGTATCGGCCAATACTGATTTTGAAACCTTGAGTATCGGCCCTTGCTAATGTAGAAACCTTGCGTATCAGCCGATAACGATATTAAAACCTTGTATATCAAACTAACACTCATACTAATCCAATATTTTTTTTATTTACAAAGTACTAAACTTTAATATTAAACCTTCAGTATCAGTTTTTAGCCCTCCTATGATCTTTAGGGTCATTTTGATCCCACTCAATGTTTAAAGTCTCTAAATAAATCGCTGACATTATTTTTTTACTTCATATTTAATGACTCTTCCTAATGATGACGACTGGGTAAACATAAAATTAACATGATCATATATTATCAATGTCTTGCACATATTTTGTATGCATCGGTGTTTATTGGTGTCAAATAGACCTCATTGGGGTTAAACTGACCTCAACATTTTACACGTACTTATTTTCCTTGTTTTGGATGATATTGAGGTCACTGTAACTGCAATTTTGTGATGCTGAAAAACTTCCCTCTGCTTTAGGGCCCTAACCTAACATAACCAAAGAGAACCACTGATAGTTCACACCACATGGGTGAGGGGAAAACATAATTCCCATGAGAACTTTGATATTTCCCAGAGGTTCAAATTGCTGGGGTCAAACTGACCCCAAGGTTAAAAGATGTTAGTTAATTTGAGGATAACAGGAGGGTTAACTGAATCACTTTGCTTAGGATTGTATGTGGATCGTGTTCACTGTGAAACCCAGTATTTTCTGCTGATAAGAGCCCAGTACTGATAGTCAGTATTGGATTGGTGCCATCTCCACTTTCTCAGTACATAAAACTCATGTACAAGACCATCATGTCAACACACAACACAAGTACATCAATGTGTGGAACATAAAACACTTGTATACTTGACTTTAACAAGTATGTGCAGAAGCACGCCCTCACGCACGCTCACCACTCAGAGCTGACAGACCTGTGAGTGGGTTTAATGTACTAGCTGCCCGCTTCTGCACACGCTCATCAATCGTGCCCTGCCAGGATCAATACAGACAGAAAATTAAAACAATCACACAGTGATTAAACACAGGAGCCCACTGCAGGCCCAGCGTGGGCCCAGCGCGGGCTCAACACAGGCCAAAGAAAAATCACCTGCCGTTCTGGGACACTTCGCACTGCAGCGCCTGCACTTAACAACCCCTTGAACACACAAACACACACACACACAGCTGCTCAGGCTGTGACAGAACGTCCCCAGGAGGAGGGAATAAATCTTGTGAGCAAAGTGATGCTTGTTTAATATGACAGTGCGTTTCAGTTGACCAGCCCTAAGGCTGGACATTACTGCAGGAAGCAGATTAAAAGCCAAAAGCTCAGTGATCACTGTTTCCCCAAAAAACATCTCCACCTGGGACCACGCACCTCCTAAAAAATTCCAAACACCTAACATCACAAAATAAATCTTTCTAAAATCATTTTTAAGTATTACCTGTTCAAAAGCGACAACAACTGAAATGCGCAATAACTTTACTTAGTTGGTTCACTGTAGACCTTTAGTGGATGATTATCTATTGGTAATTTACAGTCTACAAAGTGAAAATAAGTTAACACAACAGGAACAAATTTAAATATGATATTTTTCTGCCAGTTTTAGCTGTAATATATAAGAAAAAAAAGCATAAAATGTGCTATAACTTTTGCACAAGTCACATTGTATGTTTTATTTATTTTCCCATGTGTTAAATTCAGTTAATAAACAGTGACTGCGCTTTAAAATGTGCAGACGTGTGTTCTCTCTACAGGTTCTGTTAACTTGTTTTTACATAGAAAACCAGCAAAACATGTCATTTGAACATGGGTGCCCAAACCTTTGCCCAAACTAAATATATATAAAATTCACTTTAGCTTTTCCTTAATATTAATAACACTTAATAATGAAAGTAAAAGATGTCTGTCCGTAATTCTCAATACAGCAAGTCGTGAAGGGAAATGCCACCATTTCTGTTTCATTTCGGCACCAACTTTTTAAAAAAGGTCCACATAATTAATTTGTTACAATTTAAATGAAGTCATTCAGAGTGGTTTGATGTGAAACGCTCCATTTTAGAGAAAATTACAGAACTGTTCACAGTGGTAGTGATAGGAACCACACAAAAAGCTATTACTTAAAATGGTTCCACATGCACTAATGCCTGAGACATTATAATAGTTTTGAGAAGGGTTTTTTCTAAAATATATATTGTTGCTGCTGAAACAAAACCCTGGATCTCTAAAATGGTAACTTTACAGGAGAAGTTTAAGTTAATGTAATATGATTGTTTCCCTAGTAATTCTGGACCATTTCCACTGGTCCATTCATCGAGATATTTTAACACAACACAAAGAGTAACTGGAGTGCCACCAAAAGGTTTTTGTGTGACAGGAACTGTATTTAAATTACACTCGTGGAGGTGCGTGCAGGGTGTTGTAAAGTAAAACTGTCTCCAAAAAACTTGTTTTCCTCAGATTTAGCAGATATTTTACCATTATCAACATTACATATAAAAAGACATGTAGGTTCACTGGTGGTTTTTATAGTAAACAAAATGGCTACATTTGCATTATAGATGTGCAAATCCTAGTTCCTATCGCCACCACTGTAAAGACATACACACACATATAAATTACGCATTATTATATAGCTATGTGCAAAATTTTGAGCACTTCTGTTTTGTTGATTTTCTAAGTGACAATAAGTTAACACATCCTCTACAGAGACACACTTAAATAGGAATTCCACTGATTTTTCAAAAGTTCTGCATAACTCAGTGGTTGGAATGTAAGCACAGATTGGTTTGATGTAAAGTAAGTTCATAGTAGAGAAACTTCCTGACTGAGATATCTTTACAATAGTAGTGATGGGAATCAGGGGTGGTGATGTCTATAACACAAACATACCCACTTTATTTACTATCCAAAACCACCAGTGAACTTACACGTCTTCTGAGTGTCTATGTGTATAAGTTGATGACGGTAAAATATGAAAAAGTCAGGTTTCTCTGGGGACAACACCCTGCATGTACCCCTCTGCCATGATTGGATTAAAATAAATGTATTAAAATACATTTAGGCCAAAATCTTATCACAAAACTATCTTAAAACACTGTCTCAGCTATCATGCAGTGCATTTGTGAGGACTTCATGTAATAACTTTCGGTGAGGGAGCCATAGGAGGCATTCAACTTTTCAGACGCCCGGTTCCTATCAGCACCGCTATGAACAATTCTGACTCTGCAAGTTTCTCTGGTACCAAGCATTTCAAATTAAACCGCTCTGAATGACACAGTTTACATCTCTGCAATTAAATTGTGCAGAAAGTTTAAAAAATCAGTGG